TTTTTTTTTTAAATTACCTTTTAGGTTTTGTGAAAATCTAAAAATTGTTCCCACTTTTTTTTGGTGAAAATTTTAAACTGTCCCCACTTAATTTCTAATAATATACCACCATCCATTATTGTTGTTCAAAGCCGTTCCATCTCATATAATTTTCTGAATCTGTCATTGCCCTGACTAAAAAAAAAAAAAAAGGTGTGTAAGGTTCATCACTTCATAGTAACAAATGGATATATGAGTTTACAAACCCGATATTCATCATTCAAAAACAAGGAAAAATTGAAAAAAAAAAAACTCAATCTACTAATTACTCACTCGGTTTATAGGGAGTAGTAATTTTTAAGGGGACATATGAGACATGTATTGTCTGTCTGAAAATTTTCTAACTTATCCATTTAATTTTTGAATATTCAAGTTTAAAATTTTAAACTTGAAGGATGTATATGAAAAAATGTGAAATATATTGTTTGAAAAAGGAAATTGGAAATTTATTTTGAGACTGACAAAAAATAAAAAAATGACATTTATTTTGGGACGGAATGAGTTATATATTTCTAGTTATTTTTTATCTTAGTAACAAACGTGATAGGACAAAAAAATAAAAATCCACAAGACGTATTTTATTATGAATCTATTTTATAAATTAGACGGAACTTAAACCATGAGGTATTACTTTCCAAAAAAAAAAAAAAATTATGTGGAATGATAAAATAAGATTGATTTTTAGTTTTTTACATCACCGATTTTAAATTTGAATAAATAAATAAATAAATAAATAGAGTTGTATTGAGTAGCTTGAAGAGTAAATTCGACTCCACTAAAAAAAATTATTTAGAGATAATTGGTTTGTTTATTGTTATTTAGCATTACTCGTGAAATCATTAAATATTTTCGTGTAAAAATTATTTATTTAAAGAGTGTTATATTTATATAAGTTATACGAAGATAGGAAAACAAGACGTGATACAAAGACGGTCATGTAACAAATTTCAAAAGGATAGAATTATTATAGAACACAAATATAATATAGATATGGATATGTCACAAAATAATACTACGTAATACAACATGTTATAATAATTTTTGCCCATTTCACTCATACAATCATGAATTTTGAGCTTTGTTTTAGTTATTTGTCATCAATCAAAATTTAATTTTTTTGTATTATTTTGCTTCAAAAAATTTAAGGTTTATTATTTTTTAAGGTTGCCCACACTAAAAATAAATTTTGGGTCTGTCACTGGAGAGAGGATCAACAGATTTTTTTCCTCTTGCTAACCAGTTTATAATCCTTTTTATAAGTCATAAAAAGGAAAACCAAATGGATAATTATGTTTTAGTGAACAAAAAAATAGGAAAATACTTAGTTACTCACCGGTGAGTAGCTTCACCATACTCACACTTATGTGTTCCAATAAAAAAATAACACATCAGCTTTAATAACAAAATAAAAATAATAATAATAATAAATAAAAAGGTCGGATCGACCTGTTTTATTTGGATAATCACCCTTTCTCTTTTCTCCTTCTTTCATCGACTCCCACGCCCTCCTTTCTTCACTGTTCTTCTTCTTCTTCACCCTTTCTATTAATCTTCTTGTCTTATAATTGATATATGTAACGACCCGAACCCGTAAGTCTGAACCGTTAACCGGGTTCTTAACCGAACCCGAGGTCAACTGAGGACAACACTGTCATTTCCTACATCGATACGAAAATGTATTTATTTATTTATTTTTCCTCACTGCTTGAGTGTCCAAACATTTTGATGTCAAACAGACAACATATGAAACCTTTAATATGATCAAAACACTGTCCCAAGCCTGGGTTTGATGTCATCCATTATAATTAAACTTTTATGCATTTAATTAAATTATACGTGAGCTTAATTTGTCAAAGAAAATCATGACAATTGCAAATATATAACAAGATGGCCTTAAGGCCTTACATAAAAATCAAATTATATGCAAAAGCCTCATCAAAACTCGGTCTTTAACAAGTTTCATTATTTACATTAATCTTACAATTTTCAAATTATGCTATGGCCTGTTTAAAATATATATATATATATATATATATATATATATATATATATATATATATATATATACATATATGTCTACTATATTAGTATGATTGAAGTTGTAGATCTCCCACCACCTCCTTTCTAGTCCTGAAAAAAAATATTAACAAGGGGGGTGAGCACAACGGCTCAGCAGAGATTGCCTAAGTGGCACCTCCTCAAACGAAGTAAATAATCCAATGTTTTACACACAATGAATGGGAAAAAGGAATAGGGTCATGCAAGGGATTTCACATATGGCACTTAAATTTCCAATCAATCCTCATCACTATCTCATATGATGCAATGCATAGATGTCAGTACAAACCACATCACACCATACCCCCTCTTGGTCACACCTTTCCTCCAAACCATCATGTACCCACATTTCCCTTTCCCGCTACCACACATCTACACATCTCATCTACACCCTCATCTCTCTCATGCCCATTAATGCCCTCATGCCATGCATATGGAACATTTCAAACTTTTAATCATTTAATCATCAACCTTCATTCATTACACAATAAACAATTTCATGATCACAATAAATTAATTTAACAACTTAGCATGCTTTAACATACATCACATCAACCATACTGGGAGTAACACGTACAATTCACCACTTAAGTCATCTTTTAGCATGTCATTAGAAATTCATATACAAAATAAGCATTTAATTCCATCAAACCCATCAATTTTACAAAACTCAAACATGAACCAAACCCTAGAATTTCCATTCTTCAATTAACATCAAATTAACATGCCAAAAGAGGGGAAAAACATCAACTTAACTACTAAATCCAAGGAAAATCATCAATTAGACAACTCTACCTCTTTGAAGAGAAACCTCCAAATTCGAGATCCCTAGCTCCTTACAATAATGGTCTCAAATTAAAGCTTTCCTCAAGCTCATCACTTCTTCACCTATGGCTTCATCAAAATATTTCCTTAATCTCTCCAAAAACAAGCTTGAAGTGTGGAAGATATTTAGTGCAAATAGATAAATATAGAGTGAGAAAGTGAAATGCTAGAGAGGGGAAGCATTCTGCCGAAAATGAAAGGGAAAGGAAAGAAAATGGGTTGGTTAATAATTTGACTTGTGGTCAATAGCATGCCACTTGTAAAAATGTGTGTATTTGTTACTTTTTGGTTAGTTATTCTTTTGCCCTTCTACATTCATTTCAATACCAACAAAGTTCCCAAAATATCTCCCACCAAAAATAGATACACCTATATATATATATATATATATACATATGAAATGACTACAATACCCCTCACTTAAAATGAGAAAATCGAGAGAAGTTCCCAAGTCCGGAAATCGTCTCGGCTTCCAAAAAATTCTAAAAAAATAATACCATCATTCTAACTGACTTAAAATGATTAAAAATAAACTTCTAAAACCCTCGGTTCAAGAAAATGACCAAAATGCCCTTCAGGGCCCGCGTGGCACACAAAACGAGAAAATGATTAAAATAATCTAGAAAATCAATTAAATTCCCTAAATTAGAAAATAGGGAAAATCGGTAACATTACAATATATTTCTTTTTCCTCTCGTGCACCATTGAATATCATCACTCAACAGACAAACAAGAACTGTGGGTTCAACTAGGTCTTGTAGTGGAGGTATGATTTAATTATTTGCTTTGCACATTTAGAGTTTAATTTTTAGAAAGGGGCTTTCAATCATCATTCAAAAACTATTCCCAAAATTTTCATTTTCTTCCTTTTTTTTTTTTTTTTTTGGTTTTTAATTTGTGTTCTTGATGGCACAGGTTTAGTTTTATAAAAGAGGAAAGATTATGTATGATATCAAATGGTCGAAATATATTAATTATAGGGCAAGAAGGTTAATAGAAACGGTGAAGAAGAAGAACAGTGGAGAGATTTAGGAGGGCACGAGTTTGAGAATCGATTATAGATAGAGAGAAGAGAAAGTGTGATTACCCAATTAAAACGGGTCGATCCGACTTTCTTCTTCCTTTTTATTTTTTATTTTGTTAATTTTGGTATTACATCTGATGTGTTATTATTTTATTGAAACACATAAAAAGTGAGTAGGCTGAAGTTACTCACGTAGCTAAGCATTGTCCAAATATATATATATTTAAAGTGATCCTAAAATTATAAAAAAGGTGAATAATCACCAATCCCGAATCCCGATACAAAATTACTAATTACTCCGTAGTGACCACTTGGAGGATAATTTTGTCAAAGAGTTTATTTGATTTACTTAAAGTTATTAAATAATCATTTTCATTCTAATACGAAAAATGAAATATAAACACAAGCATTAACTGATCATCAATGGCGTTCTCTTGCTTGATACAAATTCTTTTTAGTTATTTTTATTGTTTGGTTGTTCAGAAAATAGAAAAAATAAAAGAATTTGAAGTTCATATTAAATGTTTGATGATTAGGCATCCAAAAAAACAGAAATTTCCAACCCAATTGAATAACATAACTTAGTTGAGTTGAGTAATTTGTGAATATAAATAGAGATAAAATGTAACTATGCAAGATTAAAGAATTAATTTTGCCTCTTATTTTTTGGGCAACCAAGCGGAAATGACAAAATTAACGATAGACATTTTTTTTTATAAGACGGTATCAGTAGCAGATATATATATCTTAAAATTGAAATAAATTATTTTTTTCATTCAACTCAATCATAATACTACGTAATTCCATTAAAGGGTATTTATGTCATCAAGTGTGAAATGGTCACTAAAAAGTAATATAGATTTAGGATTCATGATTATTCAGTATTTTTTATTTTTTATTTTCACTTAAAGTTAATTTGAAGCAATTATCTTTAATTTTGGTCACTAAAGTAATTTTCCCAAACTAGGCCCGGATGGGCCGAAACAATCCAAACGGCCCAATTCAAAAGCCATATTCCACCTTCCAAAATAAAATTTAAGCAAAAGAAGGGAGAGAGCCCAATCCAACATCCGCATTCCATCATCCATCGTCCTCATCAAATTTCAGCAAAAGAAGAGAGAAAGAGAGGGGAAGAGAGAATCGCAGTGAAACCACAGAATGGATAGGGAGGATAGATCCAGCCGAAGAGGCAGAGACGAACGCGAGAGAGATAGAGATAGAGATTCAACCAAAGATCACAGAGACAGAGACCACCACAAGCATCGAACCACCAAAGACAAATCTAGAGCCGCCGCCGATGAAGATCGTCACAAGCACCGTTCCAAGCATCGCCAAGTTGCCGACGACGACGACGACGATCACCGGAGATCCAGAGAGTACTCTCCCGACCGCGAGAGATCGCACGAACCGAGGACTGAGAGAGAAGGTAGCAGAGATAGGGCTCACGATCGTCGCGAGAAGAACGAGAAATCGCACGAGATGAGGAGTGAGAGAGAAGGTAGCAGAGACAGGGCTCACGATCGTCGCGAGAAGCGCGATAGGTCGTACGAGCCGAGGAGTGAGAGAGAGGGAAGCAGAGATAGGGTTTACAAGCGCGAGAAGTCGAATGATAGAGAAGATATTAGGGATAGGGTTTTGAGGGAGGACTCGGTGGAGAGGAGGCATTCGTCGCATTCGCATAAAAGGAAAGAGAGAGGTGGGAGTGAGGATCAGTTCGATGGAACTGATAAGAGAATTAGGGTTTCGGATGGGATGAAGGAGGAGAGGAAAGAGAGGAGGCGGTTCGAAGACAGGGTTGAGGACGGAGCGAAGGAACGGAATGGCGGTGAGAGGGTAGAGAAGAACAGGGAGAGTCGGAGATATGACGACGGAGTGAAGGATAGTGACTCTAGAGATGTGGAGATGAGTCGTAGGGAGGAGAAGAGAGAGAGGAGGAAATTCGAGGATAGAGTGAAGAAAGAAGAGATAGATGCCGAGGACAGTAACAAAAGGATTTTTGATGAAAATATTGTGAAGAAAGAATCCAAAGATGAGCTGTTCGCTATTGATCAATTATCAAACGGGGGTGGTTCAATTGGAAATGTGAGTCTTTCCGATTTCACTTCTGTGTTTTTAACAGATAGCATTTATATTTGCTTCATATAGTTTAGATTGGTATTAAAATAAATAACAAAAGTTGTCAATTGTAAATTTCTTGATGGAGCTAGCTGTTGCAGACTTGTATACTCTTGAATGGCCTGATAACAACGAAATTGTGTGGCATGAGAATGGGTTATAGACTTATAATTTAGTTCTGGATACATGTAATTTTGGAGATGAGATATTCTCACATCATTTTTATCGAGACAATAAACACAATTGAGTAATGTAGTCGTTGCCTTCACTATTTCTTCTTTATATTTACTTACAATGACATTAATTTTTCTTATGGTTTTAAATTTGCGGTGTGTACTTATATAGATTTTTTAAGAAATTTCTTGACCATTTTAAACTGTAGTGAAGCATTGTCTCTAGCATTTTGTGAATGGCCACTAGATGGCGTATAAATTGTGGGCTCAAATTTGTTTAAATTGGAACGAAACACGCCTTTTATTGGTGGAAGTGGTGCCTACATTTGAATTTTGTAGGGAAACCTTGGTAGAAATGATTAAATAGGTTAACCTCACATGTTGGTTCCCCAATAAAACAAAGGCAGCCATTTGCAATTTTATGGCATGTGAACACAACATAATGTAGTTCTAGATTTTTGCTACAAATTCTCTCTAGGTTATATATTTTCTCTGTGCTTAAGTATTTATATTTGATATATGAAGAACTGTTGTTGGTGAGGTCATCTGATTTTCCTCAAATATTATATTTGATGTATGAAAAATGATTGGTGAGGTCTTCTTAATGTCTCTTGATTTGTGCATTTCACTTTTCTTCTTTGCAGGGTGCTGCTTTGGAACCACTCAATATGGCATCAAGGACTCTGACTGAGAACTCTCTGGTCCCTAGCCATCCCCCTCCTACCAAGGTATCTTCGATTTATACCACAAATGAAAATAAGGGAGTTAGTATTACCAGATCTCATGAGGTTCCTGGAAAATCCAGTACAGATGGGACATCTTCAGCTGCAGGCAAAAGTGGAAGTTTCTCTCTTGACGCATTAGCTAAAGCTAAGAAAGCACTCCAAATGCAAAAGGAGTTGTCTGAGAAGCTCAAGAAGATCCCACAGGTAAGTTGTTATTCAGTAAATAAATTGTAAGCATTTTATATTTTATTTTCGTTATTCTGGATTTTTTAATTTTCAGATAACTGTTGCATATTTTCTGTTCATTCTTTTCCTCAGTTATGGGATCTGTTCTCATTTTGCTTATGCAGTTGAACAAGGGTGCTAGCACAAGTTCAGAAACCTCGCAGTTGGGGTTGAAGGATGGCTTTAAAGCCCCATCTTCCAGTTCAGGAATACTTCCTGCCCCCGTCTCTTCAGTAGCTACTGCTACTATTCATGCTGGTGCAACACAAAGTGCATCAAGTGTACCAGCTGGTGTTTCAGCTTCCGTAATGCCACCTACTGGTGACATGGTTCCTCAAGCTGGCCTTACAGCACCCAACTTTGAAGCTGTAAAACGAGCACAGGAGCTTGCTGCCAAGATGGGATTTCGGCAGGACCCACAATTTGCTCCACTTATAAACATGTTTCCAGGACAAATGCCACCAGAGGTTACCATCCAGCCTAAGCCTGCCAAGGCCCCTGTTCTTCGTTTGGATGCACTTGGTAGGGAAATAGATGAGGAAGGAAATGTGGTAAATACAACTAAAGTAAACACGCTGAGCACCCTAAAGGTCTGTTTCTTATTTTCCTCACAATTATTTCTATTTTAATTTCATTTTTTGTTTTATAGTTCTTTTTTCTGATCATTATTCAAACTACTCAGGTCAACATTAACAAGCAGAAAAAAGAAGCGTTCCAAATTCTGAAACCTGAATTGGATGTGGATCCAGAAAAACATCCTCATTATGATGCAAGGATGGGTATCGATAAAAATAAGCTTTTGAGGCCCAAAAGGATGAGTTTTCAGTTTGTAGAGGAAGGCAAATGGGCAAGAGAGGCAGAGATAATAAAGTTAAAAGTATGTATTGTGGCCTATATTTTTTTTTTCCTCATTTTGATCTTCTCCTTGTGCTTATGTTTTGATTGTAGTTGCTATTTGTTTACAGAGTCAATTTGGAGAAGCACAAGCCAAAGAACTAAAGGCAAAGCAAGCACAGCTGGCAAAGGCAAAGGCAGAACCTGATATAAATCCAAACTTGATAGAGGTATCGGTGAGAGTTATCCCCGCCAAAGAAAAACCAAAGGATCCAATTCCTGAAATTGAGTGGTGGTAAGTTGACAAAATTCTGTTTTTGAAATATGCTGAATGATTCCCTGTTGAGTATTATTTTGGTCGATAATGAGATTTTGCCCCAAAAGTAAAAAAAATGAAAATATTGGTTTAGGAAGGGATGTAAGTTTGTAGTTGCCATTTGTCAATGGCTTTGACTTTGTCTGCATTGGCTAAACACTTTTGTCTGCATTGTAAGTTTCTGTAATGTAGACTTAGGATACAGCTGGTGGTTTGCCATTTTCTCATTCAGATAGAAAAATTTAATAGCTTATTTAGTTAGGTAGAGAGTTGCAATTGGAGCTGAAAAGTAACAGCTGAAGTTCATCACCAATTCTATTTATTTATTTTACATTTTCCAATTAACTTATGTTCCATTGATAGGAGATGAAAAAATGGATGGAAGAGACAGGAGGAGGGGATGTAAGAAGCATCCCTAGGGAGGAGTGAGCGTCCGTTCCTCCTCTTTTTTTGTTAAATGGGAGTGAAGGAAATGGACAATATCATTATTTCCCCTCCATAACTTAGAAATATAAATTGATATACTTATTGAGGGTGATAGCATCCTTTTAGTTTTATCCAGAAAATATTGCCTTTTCCCTCGTCTCTTCCTCCCAATTATGGATGGAACCAAAATGGTGGGCCTGTAGGGATGCTATCCGTATCCCCTCTTCCTCTCTCCTCTACCAGACAACTGAAAATTTCCCCATCCCTCGTCTTTTCCTTCCCTTTTACCAAACATAAGCTTAGAAAAAAATTAGATGATGTTTGAATAGATGGAGGTTGCAATTGGAGCTTTATAAGTAGCAGCTGAACTGCCGAAGCCCACAATTTTATCTTCATTTTATTTTGAAGAACATGAAATAAGGGAAGTAAATTGCTTCCAAAAAACATCTTCCCCCATTGCACTACGTAATTGATGCTTCTCTAATTGTGCTTGATGAAATGATCAGGGATGTGCCACTTCTGCATTCTGGTACTTATGGTGATATTAATGATGGCAACATAGCTGAAGATAAATTGAAGATGGATAGGATTACTATCTATGTGGAACATCCTCAACCCAGAGAGCCTCCAGCTGAACCAGCTCCACCTCCGCCTCAACCCCTGAAGCTGACCAAGAAGGAACAGAAGAAACTCCGCACACAACGGCGCCTGGCTAGGGAAAAGGATAGGCAGGAGATGATCAGACAGGGCTTGATAGAACCCCCGAAGCCTAAAGTTAAAATGAGCAATCTCATGAAAGTTCTTGGCTCTGAAGCAACCCAAGATCCCACCAGGCTTGAAATGGAAATAAGGAGCGCTGCTGCTGAGCGTGAACAAGCGCACGTGGACAGGAATATTGCACGTAAACTCACTCCTGCCGAACGTCGTGAAAAGAAGGAGAGGAAGCTTTTTGATGACCCAAATACAGTGGAGAACATAGTTTCAGTATATAAGATCAATAGCCTTTCACACCCCCAAACCCGCTTTAAGGTTGACGTTAATGCCCAGGAGAACCGGTTGACAGGATGTGCTGTGATTTCAGAAGGTATTAGTGTTGTAGTTGTCGAGGGTGGAAACAAATCCATCAAGAGGTATGGGAAGCTTATGCTGAAACGTATAAATTGGGCTGCTGCTGTGGAAAATGAAGATGAAGATGGAGATGAAGATGAGGACAAACCTATCAACAAGTGTATGCTGGTCTGGCAAGGGAGTGTCGCGAAACCAAGCTTCAACAGGTTTCATGTTCACGAGTGCAGGACTGAAGCTGCTGCCCGTAAAGTTTTTTCTGATGCTGGGGTTGCTCACTATTGGGAACTTGCTGTTAACTTCACGGACGAGGACTAGATATAATAATCGGTGAAGCTGTTGACGGAATCTCTCTCCAAACTTTTATGGACCATTGTTTGTGTTGAGCTGCTTCGCTTGCATGGTCTTGGTTGGTGCATTTATCAGTAAGTTGTTATGCATTATTTTAATACAATGCAAGGTTCTAGCTTGTACGAGATGACAAGATGCGTTTATTGAAACTTTTTTTCTAGCTAAATGAAATCATTTATAATAACTGTACTTTTACATGTTTGATTTTGGGCCGTAATACTAGTCTAGTAGTATCCAAGGGGCACACATCAAAACCTTGCCCAGAAGGATGAAGCATTTTAATGCAGATTGAATCGTATGTGTTGTTGGTGCACACATTTGGTTTGTTATATTAAAAAGGATGAAGCCTCATTTTCTTTGACCGTATTGTTACTCCAGTGCTTTCTGATTTTCATTGTTTCTAATAAGTGTCCAACTGTCTATGGATGTTGTAAAAAGACTAAGCATTTATGTATCCTGGTTTGGCCTTGGAAGTATTGTTTGCTTTATTAAAAAAGGGTTGGGGGAGGGAGGGGCCTGGGGGCAATGTTAGGTCTTTCTATCGATTTCGATAGAGAATAACTTGGATATAATATAGCATGCAAGATTCTGAAATATTGATTTGATTTCAGCAGTGAAGAAAATGGCGCCTTTTGTACTCGGATCTTGTGGTAAAAATGGAAGAATACTTGGCTAGGGTCTGTCTATCGATTTCCATAGAGAATAACTTGGATGCATGCAAGATTCTGAAATATTTATTTGATTTCAGTAGCAGTGAAGAAAATGGCGCTTTCTGTACTCGGATCTTATGGTAAAAATGGAAGAACAGAAATGTCAGCACATACATGTATATTTTGTACTCGGAAATTTGTTTGGTTCAAATATCTCCACAACGTTTTTTGCAAGCCTCTTGTTGATAATAAATGAGATAGACATTGGTGAAGCGCATCTTTCTTGATAGGTATCTTGTTGGACTATGGTGCTTTGTGACATCAAATAAAAGCAAGCACTTGGTACGCTCGGAATCCAAGAAAAATATTGCACCCCTATCCGTTAGTTATGAGGAGTTGATAACACTAAGGTCCAGCACATAGAACTAAGTAGGATTATGAATGGTAATAGCATAAAATTTCAGAGCTAATGGCATAATGACTACATTTATAAACATTTGACATTACTGAAGATTCACTACTCCAGCCAGAATATATATAAAAAAAAAAAATGCTAAACTTTTGTTGGATAAGACAAAAAAGATGAACCATATCAATCAGCCACAATACAATTATGATTAACCAGAATACATGTTATATTTCCTTATTTCTGTTTCCCCTATAAGTATATTCATCATGATGTCTCTTCAGCTAAAAAGAATTAAGATTTCTTCAAAATGAAATACTGTTACACTGGTTGAAGCCCCTCCACTGTCCTAAAAGAATTTTCGAGGGGAGCTTCCCCTCGGTTCTATTTTTTCACACATTCCTCATCTCGTGCATTTGTGATTAATACATGCTCCCCTCCCCACATGATCAACCTTTTCTGCATTCCAAGTCCATCATGGGATCCAATGATTCCTCCTGAAAATTAGATTGTTGGGAGCCGCATCATGATATTCCGTTATTCTCACTAATTCTCAGTACATTTGGCTATCAGGAAGTCCTGGTCAAAAAATCATTAACTGCGAGAGTGGCATCTCCATGGGCAACAGCATCGTCAGGTTCTGGCATGTGGAGATTGGATGCAGAACTCTGCAAATCAATTACCCTTTCAGTTGCACAACTTTAACCAATAATTAAATATATTATTTAAAATTACTGAAGCTAAACCAAATATCTTGCTCAATTTTGCAGAAAATAAACTAGCAAGATAGCCAACACAATTACAAATTCTTGAGTGAAAAGCCTAAAAGCATCTAAAGTGAGTGACTTAAAACAAAGGTTCCTAATTAGTTTGAAATTTTCACAAATTTGCAGGTGCAAATTACAACCAAAAAGAGGACCCCACTCGAGATGATGATGACAAAATTCAACCCGTGGCAAAATGATAATTCCATATACGTAACTAATCAATATTTATTATTACCATTGAATCATCTCAAGCACAATTAGAATAACTTATAAGCTGTAGATAAGCTACATGCTGTAAGCCATAACTAACAGTAGAATGATTATATCTTGGTCCTTAGAATAAGGACTTGAGTACTTCACCAAATGCTCTTTAAGCACAGCACCATCTCTGGTCTGGACTAAAGGATTGCAAAGTTATATGTGTATTATTATGCAGGAACTAAACATACCTTCGTGTCAAGCTGCATCTCCCCAGCGTTATCAGCGATAAGGGATGCACCATGAGCCTTTAACCAATCCATGCATTCTTCCAGTCCATCTACGTCCTTCTCGTCACTTGTTTCAATTCGAGGCAAGACATTGGTAAAGCCCAGAACCTGAGCGATGTATGAAACAGGGATTGTAGGTCGATATGAACGAGACATGCACTTCACAGCTGTGTACCGCATTTTTTCTACATGAAGATCTGCAGCAAGACAAATATACCAACTCAGCTGTTTAATGCTTCTGCATAATCTAGAAGTTAGAAATAGTTAATATATATGTATACTTACCCATAAGAAAAGTGTTCAGATTAGGAGCTGTCTTGTATAGCCTGAAAAACAGGACATAATTTCCGGAAGTAACAGCTGCACGAACTGCAAGAGCATGTTTTACAGCTTCCTCCTTTCTGGCTTCAGCTGATAATCTAGAAACCAAAGACAAAAATTTCAATCCAGCATTCTGAATACAAGGTGAAATAACTGTAATCAAACAGATACCTTCAACTAATTAGAATTGAAGGGTTAAAGGAGGTAACACTATCTTTGCGAAATTTGCATAGTAGGCTATAATCATATAGCTGTGACAAAACCCATAAAGGTCTTTGCGGGCAGGCGGCATATCATAACTGAACCTAATCCATGCAAAAACTGAAAATGTTAATTCCAGTTCTGACAGTTATATTGTCAAAGTCTATGTGAACTGGATGAATCCAATACTGATCTTGAATTCCAGCCAAGACTGCAGTGCTGCTGCTGCTGCTTCATTAATTATTTATTCTTTTCCTAATCCCCTTCAGCGTTAGTTTCTGGGGGAAAAAACCTGACATATTGCCAGAATTCAGGCATTAACCTTTTTCCATACACTAATTCATCAATTTTTATTGGGTTAAGTGCAAAAAAAACCCCTGCTATACAAAAAATGTGCAAGAAGCACCCCAATTAGAAAAAAAAGTGCATATAACTCCCTATATTATCCATCTTTTGAGCAAATTGCCCCCTATTGAATAGATTCATTGAAAAATAGTTGTTGGTGACGTCATTTTTTTTCCTTCTGAAAACCAACAAGTGCCCTTTTTGGGTGACAAGAATGCCCCTACCAATTTCGTATATATTTGAACACTGAATGGGCTTGTTTGGATGAGTTTCAAGACCTGTCCAAGGAAAAATTTTCATAATCTCTCTCTAAATATCTCTTTATTGCTGCTGATATTATCTCTCTAATTTATGTGTGTGTGTGTATATATATATATATATATAATATCTGTGGCTGCCGACATTATTTGTCTCTCTAATTTTTTTTTTTCTCTCTAAAATTACTCTGTTGTTGCCGATAGTCTCTCTCTAAATTATCTCTTTCATTTTTTCTCTCTCTACAATATCTCTGTTAGGGACAGTCTCTCTACATAAACATATTTTTCTCTCTAAAATTTCTTTGTTAGGGACTTTTCAGATTGATATATTTTTTCTCTCTCTATCTCTCCGTAATTTTTTTCATGTGTTTTTCAGTCATTATTTTTTTTTAAAAAAAATTTCCTGTGTTATTATACTTCAAATTTCACATATTGTAATTGGTAAAATTTAAAATCTATTATCGTTACAGCACTTGCGCCATTACAATGGTTAAATCAGTAATGTTTATTCTTTCCGACATTTTGGTATTAAAAAGAAAAAAGGAAAAAGTAATAAAAACGAAAACGCATTTAAGAATTTCATTTTTGGTATTAATAATTGAATGAATAGTAAAGAAGCAAAGATTCCAAACATGTATTTTTATTATGGTTTAGAGGGAGAAAGTGTGTGTGAAGATCGATCGTTCACGTGTGGGTGGATGGGTGTGTTTGGTGGTGTCTAAGGGTTTGGATGTGTTTTAAGTGTTTGGGTGTATTTGGCCTTAGGTGTAAGGAATACAGGAATACATCAGAATATTGTTATGTTATGATGTTAAGGATAATTTTGACATTTCGCCTTTTGCTTTTTTTTTTTTTGGTTAATGATAAAGTAAGGTTAATTTAGTAATTTTACCACCAAAATTATGATTTGTCCATATTTGCACAAATTGGAAATAGTTGGGGGGTAATTGCACATTTTGTATATTATGGGGAGGTTTTTTGCACTTAACCCATTTTTATTTCCTAAGGTCAGCCCTATCTCACAAGATAAAGGCTGCATAAAATTTCTGCCTTTCTCAACGCACTTTCAGATTCATAGCCGGAGAATTAGAACAGAAAGAAGACCTAATATAAATTCAGTATATGTAGGGTTGTGAACTTTTAAAGATTTGAGCAGGTTCATTCCAAGTACCAGCACCAAACTGGTTGCTTTCAATTCCAAACAAGCCTCACATTAACCATGATAGGATTGGAAGAAAAATCATCTTCCAAGTAATTTTTCAATTACTGAGCATAACGATTACAGATAGTTTAAAAAGCAAATGCACTTGATGATTCTCTCGGGTGCACTTACATCTAATTCAGTCGCTTTTAAAGGACCGTGTTTTCAAACCTTCCATGAAAGTTAAGCACAAAATGAAAATGCTTAGCATGGTAACACTTTAAAATTTTGATTCTGGTCTAGGACCGAAACTGATCAATCATTTAAAGGACTTAGGCATCCACTGACACAGTATAACTACTTCCAGAGCAGCAATATAACAAGCAGGGATTTCAGGGAAGAATAGCAAAAAAACCTAAGACAAATGCAAGCAAAGACCTTTTTTTTGTGGAATATACTAACCTTGACATTGCCGATAAAAGCTCTCTGTTATTGCTAGAGTGCATTATAACACAAAGTAAATTGTAAGCAGAAAATTCCATATGGCATCCCTTTATTCCCTCCGCATAAAGTGTTTTCAACTGTGACTGGCACTGCAAACCAAAAAGAAGAAAGTCACCCAATACATCTAATAGACATGAAACTAAATGGAACTAGCATTTCCTTTATTTCAACTCAAAACCACATAAATTGTTTTGGAGAAAAAAAATGGTACATTGTTTCAGAAAATATTTTGTCTTGCAGATTCCTGACCATCGTTTATATTCACAATTACCAAGCTTTGTAAACATGAAACGTTTTAAAAATACTGGAACTGTAATAAAATAAAGCATCCAACAGGTGGACAAAATTTAACGAAGCAAATTAGCTTTGGTGCCAATTCAACCAACTATTTTTAGCTATGCAATAAAATTTTTGCTCTACACAATACATTTATTTAATAGACAGAAAAAAAGAAAGAAAAAGAAAGAAGGTTAACACAACGCCGTGAGTTATTATTAAATATGGCTAAGATAGCCAAAAAAAATAGAAAAGAAAACCATACACAAAATAGGACTAAAACGAAAAATTAGGTCTATTAAAAATCTATTGTTGTAATGCTTATTTTATGTAATGACCTTGCAAGTGCCTTTTTGTATTGAGATAATCGGTCCATCGTACGGACTACTATATAGTTATATGCACATAGAAAAAGAAGACAATGCAGAAATTCATGTTTTAAACGGGAATGTTAAAATGGATGAGTGAAGAATGAAAATGCATTTGTGAGAAAATAGAAGGTGTTCAAGGACATGTAATGAATACTGTGACTCCTGTTATAGATGAATGGTGATAGACAGTTTGTTTAGCCAACTTTAACTTACTGGGATTTTAAAACTTTTGTCCAGTATAGCTGAATAGTGTCAAGACCACCACCCCACGCTATTATGCACATATTGTCCGCTTTGCACCCTCTTAGGGCTCACAATTTTCAAAACACATCTACACATGTAGGAGAGCCTACCCCAGCGCCCCGCCGCCCCCCCCCCCCCCAACAACCCCAACCAAACACACCCACGCAAAACAACACACCCACCCAACCACCCAAAGTGTTGTGGGATGTCACAATCACCCCCTTTTGGGACCCAGCGTCCTCACTTGCCTTGCCTCATGGCTTATGCATGCTCCTCCCAAATTCCTGTTGGGGATTGGCTCTGATAACATATGTCAAGACCCTTCCTACAGTGTAGAAGGCCTCCTTGCGTCTACACAGGAAGAAGGCATCCCCCTTAAAATTGCCAGCAACTTCTCTCCCAGAGGAGATGTAGAACAGTACAAATTGTATATATTCATACGTCTTTCCTTTTCCCCCCGCAAACTAGGGGAGGGGCAACTTGAACATGAGCATACCTGCTTGGGGAGCTGGGCGCTCTACCAACTAGGACACTGGGTATTGCTCGTATATATTCATACTTCATTGAAATATATTTCCGCATCGTTTCACAAATAATTAAGTACCATCTACTAAAGCAGGCTGCAGGCCCTGTTTTGTTACCTACTTTTTACTCTCCAATGCTATGACTTCAACTTTTGGTCTTATAAAGAGAAAGACATTACATCAGACTCGTTGGCCAGGTGCTAATAGCAAACTGGAAATGATTCCAGTTATTATTTCTCAAACAAAAATTGGCACTTAACCTTTTTATTCTTTGGGCTAGGAAGACGGCACATAATATAATTTATAAATCTCAAAAGGAAGACCAAAACAAGAATGAGAAACAGCTAAAAATATTAACAAGGAGCAGAATGACAAAACATGGAAAATGGGGAAATTTCAGTCAAAATGGTTCCAAGAACAGTAGGTACCAACCTGATTATACTCTGGCAAATCTCCAACTTCTATTGCTAATCGAGCATGAGTTTCATAAACCTGAATAAAAATGTATGAAACATAATTATTTTAGCAAACCAAAAAAAAAAAAAAAAAAGTCCAATATTGCAAAAGACTGCATCCATCAATAAAGTAAATAAAGAATCAAGTACATGTGCAAGAAAAAAGAGAGTATAACCCAGATAGCACTATCAGGAATGAAATATACCTTGACCGTTAACTCATTTCTTATATGTTGTACAGTTAAATCCTGTCGAATAGATTTCAACTGATCACATTTGTAAAGGTAATTCTTTGGAGAATTTTGAACCATAAGCAGAGCTTTTTCTAACACTTCTTCAGGTCTCACCTGCAAGCAAAGTGTTCTTTTTTTTAGCAAGCTGCAAACTATGCATGAAAAACCCATCAATTGAACTTTTTTTTAACATTTCATTTTCAACTCCAAATGTCAAGAGAAAAGATGAAACGGGAGAAATTACAGTGGCAGGATCCGGAGCAGAAGTGAGACGCAAATAGCGTTTCTCGATCTCCTGGGAGGTCCCCTTGACAGTAAGGGTGGTCCAATCAATATCTTCAACAGCCCTGATACCGCCATCTTCAAAGTTTTTACTAAGCACCAATGCGCTTGCCCTTCTAGTGTACAAGTTTCCAGCTCTGACATTTTTTGGTCTCGAATGATTATTTTCTGCTAGATTTCCATGTCCCTTTTCAAAACGCTTAGAGCGATTTTCACGTTTCTTTCTTTCCTCCGGTGAATTGGCAAGTGCTATTGCACCGGAGTAATATGCTGTTAAACTTTGCTCCTTGTCACTATCACTGGATGCATCACCATTGTCAGTTGCATCCATACCATCACCAAAACGCTGCCTCTTAGCTGGTCTCAGGGAATTTCTATTAGTATTTCTCTGTTCTGATAACAAAAACTTTATATTGCTCAAACTGTCCTTGTTCTCTGATTTTACACCTGAGAGCTGCACACAGATTAATAAAATGAAATTACTATATAGCACCATTTAGACCAGATGTGTACTTCCCAACATCCAATGATATGTTACATGGATGGTATGCGTGTTGGGTGCGGGTATATGTCTGAATGTCAATTGAACAAAATCACAAGTCTAAGGACACAGAACACAAGTAAATACTCATATTATTAAGTATTCTTCTTTTCTGTTTTTTTAAAAAAAAGTAAAATATTATTATCGTGCAACAGAGTGTTCAATATCGACATTTCACTTGTTATAAAGTAATAGCGTAAGCAAAGGAACATAATTAGTGTTCTAGGTAAAATTATATATATATATATAATAAATAAATAAAAAATCATTGTACATGCTTGTTAGGTATGTTAGGTGCATGTCCAAGTAGGCATCTATAACACACCTCATACCCATGTTCAAAAGTCACGCGTGTCCCACACGAGTAGTTCACGCAATTTGAAGGCTCGTGCAACATAATTTAGAATGAGTCAGTGCTAAGATAAGAAAGCATAACACCAACTCATAATAAAGAACTGCCAATAACAAATAATCATAAGGCCATATCATAATAGCACAGCCAAAGGAAAATATATATATATAACAATAATAAGACGTGAACAAAACCCACCCCCCAATAAAATAATGATAAAAATGCAAAAATAATTTTTTTTTTAAAAAAAAGGCATGAAGAAAGAAATAAATAGAGAAAAAATTGTCAATAACCTTTGCATTGCAAGAGGCAAAGAGAAAAGAACAAAGGAATACCTTTTTGTTATTTTCATTATAATGAACCCAACCGGCATATTTTAAAGTATCAAGAGCGACAGGTGCTGATTTGTCGACTGGTTTCTCCTCTGACACAGGTTCCCACCTACTTTTGGCCCGCCTACTTGGACTTCTTTTGGTCTTCAACAATGAAGAAACGGGGGTTGAACACTGTAAACCACTGCAGAACAACATGAACACTTGAGGATCAACAATGTAAGGGATATTTCTTCTTCACCAACAATATTGATTCTAATCCTCAATTAAGAGAAATGCAACAAAAACCGTCAACAGCTTAAATATCAAGCACATATATGATAAGGGATTGCGATTCAATAATCCAACACTGAACAAGGACTTACAGATCTCCTAACTCATATACAGATATAAACGTGGATCGATTGAATGCCAATGCAATAAAATATCTATCACAGGAATTTATTTAGTATTTCTATAGGGTTTAAGAACTCACTACCACGCATGTAATCATTAAGATGGCAATATGTGGAGGGGAGAGAGATTTCAAATTTGAGAGGAACAAGACAAGTGGCTTGTCACGACCCACCCGCACCATGTAGATATTGTCCGTTTTGCACACTCTCCTCTCAGTGCTCACAGCTTTTCCTCAAAACACGTCTACATAGTTGCCCCCCCCCCCCCCCCCCCCCCGGCGGGCACAGGCGATGTGGGACGTCAGAATCACCCCCTCTTGGGACTCAGCGTCCTTGCTGGCCTAACCCACATGGACTTGTGCAAGCTCCTCCATTTCTGGTTAGGGATCAGCGGGGAGAGGTTTGTCAACACACCTCCTAACTACGTAATCGCATTTTGAGAAAAACCATGAGCAGCGAGAGGATTGTGTGCAAAGTGGATAATATCTCCACGGGTTGGGGCGAGTCATGACAAATTGTATCAGAGCCGATCCCTAATAGAAAATGGGAGGAGCGTGCATAAGTCCATGAGGGTACGCTAGTGAGGAAGCTGGGTCCCAAGAGGGGGTGACTGCGATGTTGTGGGGGAGAGGTTTGATAACACTTATATGTGTTGACACCTCCTAACTCTGGAGACGCGTTTTGAAAACCATGAACACCAAGTAGAGAGCGTGCAAAGCGGACAATAACTACACAGGTTGGGTGGGTCATGACATGGCTTGTGTAAGGAAACTTTAGGAAGACTATTTTTTATGCAGTCTCATTATCTTCAAAAAATAGCGACACATAAGACGATCACAGAAATTACTTGTAATCATGATGGTATAGGTAAACTTTGAAAAACAATATGTGGTAACCCGAGGGTCATTGCTTGCAGCAACAATAAAAGCTAGGGATAACAAGTGAGAATGCGGGTTCGAGTTCGATAGCAGCCACTTTGTGCAAAATAATGACATAGGTTGTCTAGCACGGTAGCACCCCTTGTAGGCGGGAGTAGTGGGTAAATGAATAAGTGGCAACCAACAAAGCCTGCTTCAATGGATAGTATAGACTGGAACAAGAACACTAAAAGAATCAACCAACCAGTTAGGCAATTCTTCATTCTAGACAAGGCGCTACATTCTTATGTTCAGTTCAACCTTTTCAATGTCTAAAGCACTAGAATTGCAAAGGTCTGTTAATAATTTGGATAATCATCTAATCAATAAAAGGGGCAAGCACAAAGGATAGTAATACAATAATCTAAGCCTGTTCTTTTTAATCTGAAAAATAGACATAAAAACAAAAAAATCATGTTTGGAAATATGTGTAATCTATCAAAGTGCCCTAGTGGTATCAGGCCTCTACTTCTCAAAGGGAGGTTAGGGGTTCGAGCCTCCACGGAGGCATGTGTGTGTGAGTACCAACTAAGAAAAAAAAAATGTGTGTAATCTGTCAAACTTAGTCCATATCTAATTTTATGATAGAATCTTTAGTTTAACAATTAAAATTTGTAATTAATTAATTTTCAAAAACACTTCAAAATTTGGGTTCCCAGTTCGTACAAGTGAGCTTCTCACAATTGATATGTATATAGGCTATTATGTATTGTGGCTTATATACACACACACACACAATACTATATAAATTTACATACACATAAATTAACCTTGTATTTAAGTTTATATATATAATTTGTATTACAATTAAAGAGAGAAGATAGAGGAGGTGATGGCAGTGGAGGAGAGAACACAGGGGTGGTGGTGGTTGAGTGCAGAGGGATGGTGTAAGTGGGCTAGGGTGATTTCGTCTTTTTAAATTTTGAGTTGCTTAGGTCAGCATGACACATGCAATAGTTGTATTACATAAGGGTTTAGTTTGGTAATTTTGTACCACTAACAAATCCAACTCTGACACACCTGGTTATTTTTTAAAAAAAGTTGTCTATAGGTAATAAAGGGAAACCTCGGGGGTTGTCAAAGTAGTTCACCCTAGAAAATTCTAATTCCCCTAACGGAATCAATCTTCGAGTGATTAAGTAAACATTAAGCGGTGATCTGTATTTTTTAATTGGGTAGGTATAGGATATCCAAAGATGACTTTTCTGTTTAATTAAACAATAAATCACACAATGAAGCTATACATATAAATACATATAAGCATCATTATTATATACATCACCCAATGATGTGATATCCATTTAAGTGTGCACGATAACACAATTTGAATATCACTTAAAATATTATGTTCCACTTAAAATGAGGTGAAATTTTAAGTGACACGGATCTTTCCCATTGCCTAACACCTCAAATTTCTACAAGCGTCAAAAAAGTTCTCAATTCACAATAATTACTTAAACCCCAAGTCACATAAAGCGTGAGCGTGAGCGAGAGCCAATTCGAGGGCAGGACTGTGAAAGCGGCAAAACTAAGTCACAAATAGTGAGAATAGGAGTCAGAGCGCGTGCGAGAGTGAGAGCGACACCCGTTGAGAAGGATTGTGTGACTTGGCTTAAAACTTCAGCACTTAAAGTTCAATTCATAAAAAATTTAGTGATCAATTTTCTGTTTTATCAAAAGCACTCTGTGATCCCAATATGCACTAGCTCTCTTTCGCTATCCTTTGCACAGTACGTCTAGAACCTTCTAGACTGCCTTGGTTTCACACTAGCACATTTTTTGGGATCATCCATTATCCTACATGTGATACTTTCCATCTCTAACCAGATTCAAATACAATAGGTCAGGTGTATAAGGAATCATCTTGTTTTAATTACATTGACAGCCCTATCTTGATTATATGATTTTAGTAATTTAACATTAAATGAACCAACTTGTTCAACTGGGGTGATAATGGTGCCGCAGAAAACTTCCACCACACAATTTTCTATTGCTTAATAATGGTTATTTTGTAATTTGAATGAAACTTTAAAACTTACATCTTGTATGTTCGTCAACGTAGCTGATCGCCACTGTGAAGGGTCACCTAAGAAAACTCAAATCCCACTTGTACATGAGGTATATAAGTCAACTGTTGTGGATTTTTCCTGGTAATTGGAACACCACTCGAAGAAGACCCACAAAGAGTCTCTCTCCCCTCATAACCAAAATACCCACGGAGCCAAAATTCCAAGACTCAAACTAGGGCTGAACACACTTCCAAAATTGATTTTGATTCTGAACTCAATCCCCAAGCTCGAACTCACAATCCCAAATCGAACTCGGCATCCGGATTGTGATTCTGAAAATCCCAAACTTCGAACAAACAATGCCCACATATACACTTGCATATATATATATATATATATAAGAATCCAACAAAATCCCAAAGAGAGGGATTGCGGTGCTACAGACCACAGAATCAGGAAAGAAAAAGAGGGATTGGTTGCACAGGGGAAGAGAGTATGGATGGGTTGTGTGGTTGAGAGGGCGTGCGATGAGAGAGAGAGAGAGATCGTGGTGGGCAATGTTGTGGTGGTGGAGGTGGCAACAATGGGGGCCTGCAGTGGTGGTGGAGGCGGTGACAATGAGGAGCCAACGGTGGTGGAGTTGGTTATATATGTGTATATATAATATATACATTAGTAATATGTGATTTGTGTGCTAAAATTGTAAGGGTTTTTGTGTGCAAAATAATATGGCTCAAATGGTCATTTTATCTTGTCTATAAAGTTTATTTTGTCATTTAGCTGCACAAAAGGGTATTCTCAGCATATTACTTATCAAAAAAAAAAAAAAAAGGGTTTTCTCAGTATTTTATTTTATTCTTTTAATTGAGCTAAAAACAGGGGAGGTATAGGTAGGGTCGACCAAACCTCAGGGGAGGTTGACCAAAAAAAATTTATAAGTTTAAGCTGTAGCCTGTAGGTAATAAAAAAACCTGAAGGGGTGTCAGGGTAATTCACCCAAATATCTAAATGATTAAATAAACTCAACATATTCATGAATATCACAACATATCATAATCATCATTCATGAGTTAATGCCATTATGTCTACTACTAAATTTAATACTAATAAGCCATCTAGTTGGGCCACTTAGGCGGCTATCAAACCAATCATAATATTAATATCAAATTAAGCAATGACTAATTCATCGACAATGGTCATCAAGTAAACCATCTAAGCATTATACAAACACACTGTAAATATTTTCTCCCCAGTCACATATATTGAGCAATGAGTTACACGTATATAAAGAGAACAATAATATGTATATATGCACAGATCCTCGAAGCAAATAAGAAAAAAAAAAATGTTGAATGATTTGAAAATCATCTTACACATTACATACAATAATATATATGGTTTTATTCCATGACTTGGAGTTTCATTATCAAATCAATCAATTTAGAATTATTCTTCTTCATGTATGTATGGGTGTGTACAGTACACTCATTTATTGTACATGTTAAAGCATGTAATTCTGGAAACCCAAATTCTAGCATCTTCAACGCGATTCCCATATAATTCTAGAAGTATAATTTCTAAAGAGACAAATACTATATAATCGCAACAGCTGATTGAAATGTACCAAGACAAGAACGTGAAACTTGTGACTCATCACAAATTTCTCATGACACAAATACTATCTATATATACCATCTTAGTGGAAAATGATGAGTTCCTAAACCATGCTCTGATTTTACATGTTGGTTGGTTAATAATAAGACCGAAGAAAACGAGGGGTCTTTGCCCAGTTTTGTGGTAGATTCTAGGTTATAAGAAACTGAAGAAATAAAGTTCTCTCTATCTCTCTCTAACTGTCTCTGTGTATCAAACTAGGGCTTCTGAAAACGGGACTGGACGGACAGGGGGCGGGGTTGGTTGTTCCATTCGTAGACAAGGATGGGAGTTGAAGATGACACCCGTCCCAAGTTCAGGACAGGTACGGGAATAAGTTATGTTAAACGGGGCAGCAGCTAGTGCACATGCCAGGATATCCCCATTGCCATCCCTAGAGGAGTCATCCACTATTTAACTAGTTGAGTGCAAAGGACACGTGGCAGCAGCTAGTGCACATGCCAGGACAACTTGTGTAAAGCATCATGTGACAAACATGTTCCTGTCCTAGAGAATAGAGGTACTTTGTGCATCAAGCAACAAAAACCTTAAAATCCCGTTCTGAAATAATAACCTCAAGATCACATCAGTCCTCGTGAACCATACAAACATAAAAATGTGTCCAGATGCACATGTTCAGAGATGGATTTTGGTAGGATGGAATAATGGAGATTAATCTGGAGGTTGAATTGAGCCAACTGTAGGAGATTAAACAATATAGGAGGTAGATTAAGCCAAAGGAACAAGCTCTGAATGTAGAACTTTGCTCTTACAAGCATGGCTGGAGGTCCAAAATCAATGTAATGTGTGCATTAACTGGGTACCATTGTGAATCATCCAAGGAGGAGTATATAGTGGAGATATGAAACCTCTCGCGATCCTACAAGATTATGTGCTAGCCACAGATATTATACAGTACATCATAAAAAGGACTGGAAATTGGGAGGTGACAATTGGTGAGAGATGGCCACGCCATGGAGACATTGCATAGCATAATATGCCATAAAGGCTACTATTTTGGAAATGTATGACAGATGAGGCATAGCATGTCACAAATGCTACAATCACGGAGACATGGTAAGGTAGGTCTGTACCCATCACATGATGGGATTCTATTGTTTGATTTTACAAATGTTACTCCCCAGTACCCAACAATGTGGTGCACTAATAGGTAAATTGAATGAAAATAAAAATAGAAAAGTAAGAATGCGGGTGTGGGTGTGGGCGTGGGTGAGAGAGAGAGAGAGAGAGTACTCTTTATCAGCCACATCTGCATTTGGTAGTGGGAAGAGGGGCTCGGTATCCCAGTCTCGTATATAGAGTGTACCATCAGCAGTTGCCTTGGTAATTACCTGATTGGAGATAATAAACTTAGAATAATTAGTACTAAATTATTAACGTCACTCTGAGGTATTAAAATTGATTACTATAAGCAACAGTGTATCATAGTGATATAAATCAACAGAGAAACAATGTAGTTACTAATTAACCTTGCACATACATCTACAAATTCAATCCAGGGATCAAATTATTTTCCCCAAAAAACAAAACAAAATTCCCCTATCATAATGACTGCCAATAGCAAAAAAGTGACTGCACAAAATAAATATCAAAAAATAAACCTAAAATTAACTCATAACCAATTTGCAGTAATCCAAAAAAATTAAAACAAAAACTTTAGATTTGAAATTTTAACGCAAGGGATACTTGAGACGTGAGCATAGTTGTTAAACACGCGTCTACGCTCCAAAAAAGTATCAAGCCCATCAAGACTCGGCCCCTTGAGTCAAAATACGTAAAACTCCCAGGTTCACACTTTTTAGCACACCCTATGCTTAAAAAGAACGGGCCTCTTATTTCGAGTAAACTACACTGAACTCCACTGAGGTTTGGCATAATAACAAGTAGATGAAACTTATGCATTTTTTGGCAGCGTGTGCCCGAGGTTTGACCCCTTTTTGCAAAGACCTCCCCTCCGTACAAAACCAGTACTTTTTGTCAGAAAAAATGGTTTAAGTCACCAAATTACCATCAACTAATAAGTTAAAAAGACCCTATAATCCTTTATAGTATCATCAAATTACAGGAAAAAAAAAAAAACCCTTTGTTCCAGAGACAAAAATACCCTTCTCTCTCCCTTTCTTTTTCTCACCACCCCACCCACCACCACCAGAAACAGAAACTCATCCTAATACTTGCGAAATTACAGAAGTCAATATATTATAAATAACATCCCTATATATTATATATACGAGTAAAAGAATATGATTCATTATGGAACTTGAGGATCTCAGATGGGTCGATGATGGTAGTGGTGCTGGGTTTGAATGGATTGGTGATGGCGGTGTGGGTTGGAATGGGTCAGCAATGGTGGTGTTCTTGGATTCCAACTCGGTCAGCAATGGTGGTGTTCTTGGGTTCTGATTGGGTCAGCGATGGTCAATGATGGTGGTGGATTCCGATTAGGTAAGCGATGGTGGTGTTCTTGGGTTCCAATTGGGTCAGCAATGTTCGATGATGGTGGTGGTGTTGGGTTCGAATGGATCAGCGACGGTGGTGTTCTTGAGTTCCGATTGGGAATGGTGGTGTTCTGCAATTGGAACAAATTCCTTATCAAACGCCAATAGGTCGGTGAAGGTCGTGGTGTTGGGTTCATCAAACGCACTTCTAAAACCTGTTACCATTGCTCTGGGCTACGAACCATTCTGAACTCGTACTGCAATGGTAGAAATACGGATTTGGAAGGCGTTGAGATAGTGGTGGTGGTAGGAGGTTGAGTGGTGGTGGCGATTGCAGGATGGGGTGGGCGACTGAGAAATGGTGGCAATTGTTGGGGGTGGTGGTGAGAGGTGGTGGTGTGGTCGGAGGATGGTGATTGTCTCGTCCTCCTCTGACATGACATGCAGCGACAGCTGGTTGCACCACCGTCGACGGCATAAATTTCCCGATCGACCCAGAATTGATTTGCAGATGAGGGACCAGTTGCTGGGTCCATGCTTCTCAACCACCTCTTAAGAGGAAGAGGAGAGAGAGAAGGGGTGGTTTGGTGGTAGTGGCGGAGGGAGGAGGGGCACGTGGTTAAGGTGGTAAGAGGAGGAAGAGAGGAGAGAGAACGATGGATTGGAGGAAGGGAAACCAAAAAAAAATTGTCTGAGCCATATGTATGGGCAAAATGGTCATTTGCCATTCTCATTTTAACAATATAATAATAAGGGTAGTTGAGTAAATTCACCTCAAAAAAAGACCAAATCTGTCATAAGGGGATCTTTGTAAAAAAATGACAAACCTTTTGTTTACTTGTAGGTCATTTGTCATTATCATTTTAACAATAATATTAAGGGTAGTTGAGTAAATTCACCTCAAAAAGAGACCAAATCTGTCAGAAGGGGCTCTTTGTAAAAAAATGACAAGCCTTTGGTTTATTTTTAAGTTGTAATTCGGCCAAAGCTCAAGGGATGTTGTAGATTTGATAGAATTCATGAACATATGGTTGGCTGCTTACATTAATTGAACCCGAGAATTTTTATATTAACATAATTATGTAAAAAAAAAATCAATGTGATAATTTTTAATGTTGCACATTTTAAAAGGGATTTGATTTAGTTAATGCATATGCAAGGGATTATTGCGTTTTGATTTACTTGATTATCTAAGTTTGGTTGTCGATTAGTTGTTGTATATCATGAAATGTTCTAAATGAACATTGATTTAATTAAATTTGAATGCAACCTGAACAGATAAAGTTCAGCAAACCTATAGAAGTAATATGATAATAAAAAATAAAACTTCAAAAAAATGATAATTCCTTTATTTGATCTTGATTAATTTGTGTTGCATCTTCTTTTTTTTCCCTATACTTAAATAGAATATTTATTTTATCACACACACAACTGACTTCTATCCGCCTTGTACTTGGGCTCCAGGAGACCTTGCTCCCTTGGTGCCTCATTGTGCCTTGAGGTCCACGAGCAACTCAAACATTTCTTTGTATAGATCATGTATAAATCAACAAGACAATAATAATGAGCACCATGAGTCCATGACGAAGAAGACAACAATTATGAGGATGATGATTTACCTTGGAAGAGAAAGAGAGACAGAAGGATTTACCAACAGAGGGGGGAGGGGGGGAACATATTGATTGAGGTAGTCTTCACACTGAGAAAGTTCAAGAGTGAAACAATCTCTATATCATTTTTGTTGAAATGGAGAACGAAAATACTGGAGTTCCTAAAATACAATTTAGTAGTGGGTCCAGTGGAGGAAAAACTATTGGAGGACAAATCCATCCTAACATGGAAAAAATAGTAAAATATCAGAACCAGAGGAGGAAAAACTATTGGAGGGCAACATTGACAAAATTATAAATTACTTCATACTATACCTACTTACTGCTACAGATAAAGTAACGCAAAATACAAGAAAAAGTCCACAGAGAGGAGGGGAGGGGGGGGTGGGGCAATTGTGAACATTTGGGCTGACAGTTGACACGCTTGAGGATGCTGGTTCAAGTTAGCCAGAAAGTCATTTTGTAAAAAAAAATAATATGAAGGTAAGGTCTGTCTCTAATCATTCTCTCCCAGCATGGATGGGACTAGCACTGGCAAGCAAAATTCCAACAAACTATATTGCTTATCCGGGACCTAATGTTTGCAAGCATGTTTTGGATTTTTTGCATGAATATCAACAAACCGTGGCATAGTAAAGCAGAAACAATAAGCATGAGGTCTAGTCTAGGACATTTGCCAGCAGAACTCAAATCACAAAAAAAATTTCGAGAGTGTATAGAATAGGGGAACTTCGTGGAAATACAAAAGCATTTAACATCAATTATTCAATTCCAATAGTCAATTCCTCCACTTAGTGTGGTATTCCTCTTTTAACCACGTAAGACATAGGAACCACCATAATTTAGTTAAAGATGCACGAAATTGCTGGTGAAGCAGACCCTTTCTACCGTGGGGGTTTTGTGCATGTGTGCGTGAGGGTGGGTGGGCTGGAGTGCGTGATTACTTTCTTCACCATGTTATTCTCTATAGCTTATCAACATACTCACAAATACACAAACAATATGGTAATGTAGTTATGCATGGGAACTTACTGCGTCAACTACGCACGAGAACACAACATGTTTATCCATCTCCACAACTAATTAATTAAAGATAAATAACTACCAACCAGAAATTTTTTTGCATTAATGGTATCATGGCATACCTCTTTCATGATAACTTGGCAAGTTGCCGTTTGTGAATCATCCTTGCATCGAGCCAAAGCCCTTTCCACATAACCACGCAATGACTTGGGGAACATACCAGGCTTTAAGCAGCACAATGTGATACCATTAGTCATTAATCCTCCATTCTATCCAGTGCAACTCAAATAGAAAATATGATATGAAATAAGTATAAAAAACTTTTTTATCTGCAATTTTTTTTTCTGGTAACTAAACATCCCCAGTAAAAGGTCACTTTTCTAAAATCCAATCAAATAATTCAATTCAGCCAGATTGACTGCTCTATGCATTTGAAAAACATAAAAATATGGGCATCAAATACGTATAGTGTTATTCCATGACTGTTACTTGGAAATTTCCCAGTCCTTCAAAGTAGAATCGTAAATGGAGGTGAAATATGTAGGCAATACAAAATGAAATTCTATGACTGACTTCTATTGATAAAGGAAACACCTTAAAGTTTATTATACTTATAATTACTCAAATAATTTCAATTTTCAAAAGAAAGTTGTTAACATCAAATAGAAGGCGGGAAGGAAAAAAAATAAAAATAAAAAAAGGAGGAGGAGGAGGAGGAGAAGAAGAAGCAAGATATTCCTAACCAAATAGAGTAATAGAGAAACAGATCAATCCACTTTGACTCTAAGCTTAAGGACTTAACAAAAGCAGAGCCCTCGTTAATCAAACATGCTGACCAACTCTTAGCCTGTACAGCATCCAGGGAAGAATCCCAAATGTCCAACATATGTATATAACTGAACCCAAAAAATCGTAACATCACTTTAACACTACAAGTTATGATTTCCCAGGCATAGAAATGCACAGCTGACAGGACATGTATTGCAATGCAATTTAAGGGGAATCCTAACATTTCATGTACTCATGCAACATCTGACAAAATTAGGGCCCATTGTATTGAAAGCGCGTATACCTAACCTAACATTATTTTTGCAAAAGTGGCTGCTCTTGTACTCAACCATTGAAATTTTTTTCTTGTAGGACAAACATTCTGCGAAACTGAATACATTCATTTCAAATGAATGCCACATTCAACAACACAACTCATTTGCCCCAACAACCATGCCTTGGTGTTATCTTGGTAACTACTACCACCATGACAAACATGTCCTTTTCAGCTTTCTCTTTCCCTTCTAGTCCCTAACTTCATCACTCCATACTAGTGCAGTCACTGAATGCGTGGTGTAGATGAATACCAGGTCAAATTTATTTCAGCCAGCCCCTATTGGGGCGAATATCCCAACTTCAATAATATGTACAATCCTTATTCTATCTTGCCTAGCATTTGATCCCCTTCCTTCCTCCAGAGCTATTCACTTACATCCATCTCACTAGTAACATAATTTATATCCCCTCCATTCCTTAATTAATGCCACTTTGAACAAAGCACAAATAATTACGAAACTTACAGGTCTCACATTTCAGTGCACATTAAGAGTAGTTCTCCAGTATTACCCTCCCCTAATTTTATATTAAAATTCAGAGAAATAGAATAAATAGAAGCAAAGGACATTATAAAAAAAGTAAAAAGTACTTCTTAGCTTAAGATCTATAGTGAATAGGGCTGCAAATGAACCGAGTTGTTCATGACAAGGACAGGCTCAACTTTGAACAAAGCACAAATAATGCCACTTTGAACAAAGCACAAATAATTACGAAACTTACAGGTCTCACATTTCAGTGCACATTAAGAGTAGTTCTCCAGTATTACCCTCCCCTAATTTTATATTAAAATTCAGAGAAATAGAATAAATAGAAGCAAAGGACATTATAAAAAAAGTAAAAAGTACTTCTTAGCTTAAGATCTATAGTGAATAGGGCTGCAAATGAACCGAGTTGTTCATGACAAGGACAGGCTCAACTTGATAAGGGCTCAACTCAAGCTTGTTTATTTACTAAACGAACCGAGCTGAAACAAAATTTCCAAGCTCATTTATCAAAGGAGTTAAGCCCAAAAAACCCTTGGCTCGGCTCATTTACTTCATTAATGTTTGTGAACAAATTCGATGGGCTCGTTAAAGAAGACATATAAATACAATTAAAAAATCAAAACCCTAATAACCTCATCTCATTTTCTTACTTGTGCCTCCTGCAGAATATCCCCCTTCCAAAACTCACTATTCTACTCCCGTCTCTCCGGTCATCAACCACTTTACAACCGGCAAACAGTGATCGTCATCCCCCGATGAGTCAGATCTCTCTCTCTCTCTCTCTCTCTCTCTCTCCAAACATCACACATCACGGGAACTCAAGCATACCTTTTCTCTCAGCTTCTTCAATAACTTCTCTTGATCTCACCTTCTCTCTCCAACAAGATCGAAATTCCAAGGCTCCACCACTTTGTTGCCCAAGCCACTCCTTCCAAAACCTAGGATTCTGTGTGAGTTCTCTCTTGAAATTTCCTCTCTTACACAAACTTTTAGTGTAATGATGTATATATTGATTTTTGATATTAGATATCATCTGTTGTATTTTATTGATCGGTTGCTTTTTGGTTGCCATTCTGTTTTGGGTTTGATTTGATTAAACTTAATTTGGGGCTTTTCTTTTTGTTTAAATTCAATGTTGACAGGCACTTCATTATTTCTTTGATAGTTCATTGATTACTTTGGGTTGTCAGGAATTCTTTATTAGGGTCTACGGAACCACAACAACTAGTTGGTTTTTTTCTCTTTTTTTTTTTTTAATTAGTTGTTTTATTACATATGATATGTGTTTCAATATTTAAGCCAGTCCAGTGCGGAGAACACAATTTTGAAAATGACTTTCTTCTTTTTTTTAAATAAGATAAAAAAAAAAAAAAAAAAAAATCAAATTGCTTTAGCGTCTCTGAAGAAAAAAAAAATTTAAAAAGGAAGTATCTTCATTTTTTCTAAAAATCTTTTTGGAAAAAATATATATATTTTTTCATGAGTATTAATTCCTTTATGCTCAGCTATGTTAATTTTTCATAATCAATCTTGATCTCAACTCTTGAGCTCAAGTTTGAGCTCGACTTTTAAAACTGTTGGAGAATATTATTATAGGAACCTCAAATTACTCCACAGAATATTGCTCTAAGAATATTGTGGGACGTGGGAGTGATTTTACTCTATGATAAAATATGATTGGAGTGATTTGTGAGAGTGATTTTTGTTAACAACCATCTACTTTAAAAGCTTAAGCTGTTAGAGAGGGTGTTGCTTAAATATATATATCCTTCAACACGCCCCCTCACGTGTGGCCTTCTTTTGGTCCGACACGTGTCTTTCAATTTTTTGATTAGGGTGACGGTGAGGTTTGAATTCGAGACCTTTGGCTCTGATACCATGTTAACAACCATCTACTCTAAAAGCTTAAGTTGTTAGAGAGGGTGTAACTTAAATATATATATCCTTCAACAAAAACTAAATGAGCAATCGAGCTCGGCAACACTCACGATCAAGCCAAGATCAAACATGCTCCTACTTGGCTTGGCTTGGCTAGGCTCATTTGCAGCCTCAATAGTGAAGAAACAAGATCAAACAAAAAACGAAAGAAAGGAGGTCAATATTGTGCACAAAGAATGTGTGCTTTTAAAAAAATTAGTAAATGTGCACAACTTATGCTATTGACATTAACAATAGTTGGAGACACATATTTCTTATTGCAGTAATGAAGCTTATAGTAACAAATTTTAATATGATACAATCTATCATCTATAATTCAGGGAGGGGAAATCTATCATCTATAGAAAATAACCCATGCATATAAAAAGGATGACCTACAATAAGTACGTAGGTCATGCTTTAATTATCAGCGAAGTGAAACCTTGTATGGCTTTCTACATGCAAAGTCAGCAATTTCACAATGAAAAATAATGCAGAAGCAGGGTGTAGCAAAAATGCAAAGAACTAGCAGGAGAACAGGAAAAAGTTGACAGTACAACATGCCGTGGATCACATACCAAACAAAAAACACGTTATAAGCCGACAGATACTAGATAATTAGAAATCATAACCACATCTCTCTCGGATTAACAAATTGCATATAATATATCTTATCAGCATTTGGCTATCTGCATTGGAGTTTGGACTAGTTTAAGAAATAAAACAACTCGATGATCAAAAGGCAGAATACTTCACTTATCCAGAAGGGAATTAAAAAAAAAAAAAAGGCAGAACACTTCAAAATGAGTCTTAAGCAGAAGATATAAAATTTCAGGTTTATCACAAAGAATTTTCCAACTGCATCAGCCAACCTCCAAATCTACAGTGCAATTATAAAAAATAAATGTTGCCAAAATAAAGTGAATGTTATTTTACAATAAGTCAGTGTCTCACCTTAAGAAGAGAATCAGCAGCATCATGAGACGACACTTTGTCAATTGGCTTTGGCATAGACACACTGATATAGGCTGGTTTTGCTGTTGCACTGGTCGTAGAGCTATCCTTATCGGTTTTTGGTAAACTCAAGGGCAAATTTGAAGCAATTCTAGGATTTGTTGGAATCTGCAGTTTGCTTACCCTGTGCAAATCTAAGGGTGGAACAGTTTGTGGAACAGTTTGCAAGGAAGGTTGATAACTTTGAGGCACCTGCTGGGTAGCAGGGTATTGCATATTGGGTCCTTGAGGGCATGCAGTCTTCTGTTGATCCTGAAAGCTGCCATAAGTAGGATTTGAATCCAAAGGATTTTGAAACTGTGGTTGTTGAGGACTAATATTGTGATTCGTGAGAGCTGGAGCTACATGTTTCCAGTAACTATCATGGACACCACTATTTACTGCACCAGGCTGACAAGAAAACCAAAAACAGTTAAAATATCAACTGATAAAAAGCATATTTCTGCTGTCTGATGACATGCCGTGAAACATATACAACTCTACTTAATTGTTCAAACATGGGTGCGAGCGAATAAACAAGTATTCTACCATTAAACCGAGTGACATGCACAAAGTTTTCAACACATCATTACCTACCAATTGGAAAGAGTAATTTAGGATAAATTTTAATAGATTTTTTTTTTTTTTTGATAAGATAAATTTTAATAGATTTTCAAAGATAACATAGGATAAGTTCCCTATCATCTTAATGACACCCAAAGTCAATTCCTTTTTGTTATTGTCACAACCATCATCATCATTCTTGCCTTTATCCCATACCAACAAGGTCGGCCACATGGACTCTTCTTTTTCCAATCTTTTCTATCACAAGTCATTTCTCCTACTAGATTTAATTTTTTAAAATCATTACCTATCACTTCATTCCATGTTAGTTTTGGTCAACATCTTTGCCTTTTACACTCTGCAAATCAATCTTCCTCTCCACACCGGTGCATCTATAGGTCGATGTTGAATATGTCCATACCCTCGAAGTCTACTCTATCTTATTATCTCACTAATAGGCGCTACACCTAATTTCTCCCTAATCTTTTGATTATTAATCTAATCTTTCCCAGTTATTAGTAGCATCCATCATTCAAATTTCTGCCACATGGATGCGTTGTTCACGTTACTTTTTTAGCACCCAACATTCTGCTCCATATAAAATAGTCGGTCTAATGACTGTTCTATATACTTTTCCTTTTAACTTAATTGGCATTCATTTGTCGCATAAAACACCACTAGCATTCCTCTACTTGTCCAATCTATTCCAATTCTACTACTTAGATCATCATCAATCTCTCCATTTTTTTGCACAATTGATCCTAAGTATTGAAAATAGTTGCTTTGAGTTTGAGTAATGTTTTGCTCTTGAATTTTTATTACTGTATTATCATTCTCTATAGCAATACTAAATATACATTTCATTCCATGTATTCCGTTTTAGTTCTACTAATTTTTAAACCTTTTGACTCTAAGCATATCTCCAAGCTTCTAATTTTTTTGTTAAAGTTTCCGTAGAACTATCCAATAGCATTATTTCATCCGCAAATAACATGCAACATGGAAAGACTCCGTGCAAGTCTTTCGTTATTTCATCTAATGTTACCATAAATAAATATGGGCTTAGTACCGAACCTTGGTGTAATCCTACTTTTATAGGAAAATCATTCATCTCCCCCAAGTACGAACCCTAGTCTTAGTTCCCTTATACACCCACCAGATCATGCCTCTAGGAACTCTATCATATGCCTTCTCTAAGTCTATAAAAACCATGTGTAGGTCTTTTTTCTTATTTTTTGATAAGTTAAAAAATTTGGACCATTTCTTGATTTGTGCGCGTCATCCTTGCACAGGGGCCATGCGTAGGTCTTTTTTCTTACGTCTACACTACTCTACTAACTGCCTTAATAGGTATATGGCCTCTGTAGTGGATCTCCCTGGCAAAAATCCAAATTGATTATCGAACACAGTACATTCTTTCCTTAGTCTTTGTTATATTACCCTTCACATAATTTCTTTGTATGATTCATTAATTTAATTCCTCGATAGTTGCTACAATTTTGTACATCTCCTTTATTTTTGTAAATTGGTAGTATGGTACTTTTTCTCCACTCATCAGGCATTGTACCTTCCTCTAAAATTTTATTAAATAGATTAGACATTCAACTCCTACCCTTCCTATTGTTCTTCATGCTTCTACAGGAATGTTGCCCGGTCCTACTGCTTTATTGTTCCCCATTTTTCGCAATGAATTCTCTACCTCGTTCCTATTGAATATATGTATCACACTAACATTAGGCTCATTATTCTCAATATCAGAACTGGGATATTCCTCATATAGGAGTTGTTGAGAGTACAATTATTTTCTATTATTGTACCAGGCATAAACCAATACAAAACAAGTAAAGCTCACTTAACATCTAACAATCTTTCCATCATCCACATTAAAAAAAGAAAAATAAGACAAGAAAAAAAAATACCAAGGAAGAACATTCTAAATCTTTCCACTTATCATCAGCCCTACTCAAGAACAGGAAAGGTATTGTATCTCTTATTAGATAAATTCCTTAAATTGCTTTAAGAAGTAGGAAGTCATTCGTGTCTACTTGACACCCTTATAGAGGAACCTAATGAACGGTTGTTACCTACACATCTTCATCGTGTCTGATTAAATCCTTTCCTCTCCAAAATATGGTGAAGGAACTTTCAAATAAATAAAAACTTCCTAAAAATCGGTGTATTCGTCTTAATTTTAATATAATGAAAAAACTATTCTTGCCATCATTATTGGAGGCAAAGGCATTAATGACATCAAACAACCTCTTACATACATCCACCGTATCTTTACAATTCCCTTACTCTTCAAAATATAGTCAACTAATTTAGGGAAAATATATATATAGTCAACTAAATTTAAAAACAAATAATGTGATTCAAAGTCAATGTATTCATTATAAACTAAAATTCACTAATCCCCCCCAAACGAATTTATTAGCCATAACACGATGGCACAATGCACACCAAACTCAAATCTTCCCACCTGCGTAAAGAACAGGATATCAACAAGAGTTCTTCTGATACTCGGACAAGGCGCCTAAAAGAAGTTTGTTGGACAATTTACAAGGCTAATAAATCCTAGAACCTCTATCCTAACCAAAGCAATAGATCTATTTTCAGGGCTTATTTACCAGCACCAATCTGTTTGCACCCTACTCTAAGATTCATAGGAATAGGAAATAGGAAGTCGCATTATTTTTACAGTTAGGAGCAAACAAATGATAAATAAACAAGATTTATGATCAAAAAATTAGAATAGTCGATAACTAGGGATGTCAATAGGAAAAATTCAGGGCGGGTCACCACTATCCCAAACACGCTCAGGAAGAGACTTGGAAGTGGTTCCAATCACCCCACCATGCATATGTTTAAAAAAAAAAAATTTCCAAAGAAAAATTAATAATCATAGTCACCAAATTTCTCAAGTTTATGGTTAAAATTTAAAATTATCATCAAAAACAATGAAAATAATGAAGTTTCTAGCTAGTAATATAGCATATATTTATATATTTTATTACTAATCAGAGTGGGTTTGAGTTTTTAACACTCTTCCAAACTCAACCCTACCCCAATTAGTGTGCAGCCAAACCCGTTTCAATAGGGATGAGGAAGACGAGGTTCCACCGGGACAGATTACATTGACACCCGTGTCGATGATAAAATCGTTTGTGTATTTATGACAAACTACACATTTAGCTGAATCAAAGTAATCTCTAGCTTATTTTTTCCACTTCGATGAAGGAAAGAGAAAAGGAGAGCAAAATTTCACGCTCCACCACATTTTGAGAAGGTTAGGCCAAGCAAGTGTCATGCAAGCACTTACCAAGGAGTGACACGGACACATAGCGCGTCTCGTAGGGCGTTTCTATTCTAGAGTATTTTATATATGTATACGACACTCTAGAACATTGTATAGTCGTGTGTATATGTTAAACATATGAGATGGAGGGAATGTCTTGCTTCATTATTCGAAATGTTGGATTGTTTTGTTCTCACACGTTCATCAAGGATGTGGATGCCTTTACATAGGGAATTCATTTGCATCCAGTTGGGCCAAAAACAGTCAAGATTAAGTCCTCAAAAATGACCTCAGAGAGTTCTAAGAGTTGTAACAGATCTTTTTCTTGCCAACAAGTGTAGAAAGTTTGTGTGGGTCAGCGTCCCTAGAGTGAGCATGAAAATGAGACCCCTAAAACAATAGTGAGGCAACAACCATTGGCACGAGCGAGCTGACATAGGTCATGTCACAAGGGTAGACAGCTTAGGTGCTGTACGGCTGTGTCTAGGCCTGCAACAGAAAGCTGTCCTTCATGCCAGACCTACTGCTCAGTTGTGACATCAATGAGACCAAAAAAACGGATGGAAGCGTCAAGGGTCCATTTGATACCAAGGAGGTTGGACACCTTTTTTTCTATAATCCCTGGGTTTGTCCAAATATTAATTTTTTTTTTTATAGTATAAAATAATTTAATTAAATAATTATTTTTATACTGACTGATGGAGTGGGGATTCGAACCTGGGCCTTTGACCACAAGCAACACATGCCCTACCACTGGGCTATCACACCACATCCACCCAAATATTAATTTCTTTTAACAGGACAAATTTAAAAGGCCAAAAACAATTACTTTAATCAATATATGGATACATATATATATATACACACGTGTGTTTTTATGTGTATATATGTATATAATGAATCCATTTTTCATACGCATGCAAAAGAAATCATTTTTTTTTTTTTTTTTTTTGATAATTATGCAAAAGAAATCATTTAACTTCTAATAAACTGCACAAGAAGTAAAAGTCAAACCTGCGCTGAAGGCAGTTCAGAAGAACTGGTTTCTGGCCTCCAAGAAGGGATGAAAGGTGTAGAAGGCTGGCTGAATGAAGCCGAATACCCAGAAGTAACACCAGGAACAGCACACCCCAAATTAGATGTACTAGTTGCAGATATGTTCTCAGTCCCAGGAGCACAGCTAACTTCGGTTTGGCTATAATAGTCTGCCCATTGTTTATATTGTGGCTGATAGTATACTGAAGCTGCGGTTCCAGTCGTTGCAGTCGCAGTAGTAGAACTATAAGCAGCACTTGAGTCCTGTGTGTAATTTAGGTATTGATGAGATGTGTAACTTGGATAGTTTCCTTCATTCCACAAGTTGGTCTGATTACTGTAACCGCTACTCGTGTAACCTCCAGATGTCTGATAATCACCAGTATTGTAGTAAGTGTTTGAATAACTTGCAGGCCCAGCATAAGACCCTGTATTCTGAAATGAGGGGGGAGGCTGATAAGGTGCACCTGTGCTTTGATATGTTCCTACAGATTGAGGGTATTGTTGACTAGATTGATGCTGATAGCCATTGTAATAACCTGTGTATCCTGTGTTGTTGTATCCATATGCATCAGCATTTGGGTAGACTGCATAATTATTATATTCTTGTGGTACATTTGCTGCTCCAGAACTCGAAGTAGAGGCAAGAGAGGCAACGACTGAGCCATCTTGAATGTTCCTTGGGGGAGGCTCTGCATTCTGATCTTGGCGGTAGCTAGAATTAGAAAGAATCCCGTGCTCTGTGGAGTAATTCTCTGCCCTATGCATGGCCCATGATACAGCCTCAGGGCCACTAGACGGGGTATAATATGATGATGTATGTCCTTGGCCAGAATCAACAACCTGATATTTCTGAACCAAAATATTATAATAACGTCACTAAAATGACCATTCAATGATACACCAATCAAAAGATGCATTGAATAATTGAATAAAGGCAACAAACCAAATGCATATAAAGGCATATACGTACAGAAGAGGAAAAAAGGACTGATAAAACAGCTACTAGACTAGTCGTACTTTATGGGCAGAATGTTGGGCACTTAGGAAACAACATATGCATAAAGTGAGTGTGGCGGAAATGTGAATGTTGAGGTGTGCAGTAAGACTAGAAAGTATTGAATTAGAACTGATCAAATTCGTGAGATGGGTGGAGTAGCATCAATTGGAAATAAAATGAGAGATAATCAGTTAAAATGGTTTGAACAAGTGCACGGTAAACCTTTAAATGCGCCAGTTAGGAAGAGTGACAATCTTCATTGAGTGTAATACTAAGAGAAGAGGAAAATCAAAGTTAACATGAGTAGTGTTTGAGCCCGTTTAGCATTGTTGTCAGAATAAAATAAACGCTTTTATTGTTGTTGGTAAAAAGAATGTTAGGTGTTTGGTGACACATTATATTAAGTATCTTCACAATTAAATTATTTTTGAATTTATTGTGAAACAATATTTTTTAAAACGCTAATTTTATAATAATATCCCTTAATAGGATTTTACCATATTTGATAATAGCAACTTTATAAGGAAGGAGTGTAATTGTCTTTATACAAAAATAAAAAACGACAAAATTGTCTAAGGAAAAAGAGTTACTCAGAACGCAATTTTAAAAGCTCAAAATCCGGGCTTCATTTAAAAGCTCCACTGAGCTCAAATTGGTAACTATTACAAGCGCTTTTAATGGTTACCAAACACATCTAAATGCAATTTTTCAAAATAAAAGTGATTTTAAGTAGTTGAAAAGCAATCCCAAATGGGCTCTTAGTAAGAAAGGCTATTACAACATACGGTGTGACTGAGACCGTGGCTTTAGATAGAGCGGGATGGAAAATAGGATTCATGTAGCCCATCCCAAGCAATTGCAAAAAACAAAAAGGTTTGGACGATGTTGTAGTATCAGGGTCGATACAAAACACCATGGAATTTTACTGAAAATTATTGACCCTTGGTTTAAATTACAAACCATTGAATGCGATAAAAAAGAAACAGATTGATTACGACTACTTGAAAGTCGCAACATGAAACCTAAATTTACTCTATTGCTCTAAAACTCTACCCTTTACAAAAACAAACTATACAAATACCAATAGAACTAATGAAAGCCAGATACATAACATCAAAATTTTGGAAGGGAAAAAACAACAATGTTCACTTCAGTTTCTTTTAACAATTCATTTGCTCCAACTATGATCTGTTACTAACTAGATTTCATCCCAAAACCTAAGTTTTGTGAGCCTAATAAGCAAAAATAACAATTCATAATTATTGAATAGACGTAATTATGTAAACAAAAATGTATTCATATAGGTAACAAATATATAATTATAAACACATTCACACAAACTTGTATATATATACACACGGAGAGAGAGATAGTTACCTCGAGCAAATTAGGGTCCACTGTAGTTACGGTGTCAGTAATACCTCCTTGATTCATCATTTCATTAGCATCCTAATTCATCGACAAACAATGCAATGAACAATTCAGTAAACCATGGTGGTAGTTAATATCGTCACTAAGTTACGGAAATAGTAAATTTGTCCAAAAAATAATAATTTTATTATCTAAGTTGCAATAAACCACAGAAACCCTAATCGGCTTCGTGCAACTTACATCAATCTGACCCTTCAAAACAGTCAATCGCAGCACTCGAAATCAACTTTCGAAAGCAGTACAATTTTTTGCCGCAGATTTGGTAGATCGAAACACAACAATTTTGAGATCACAAAGAACCAAAAAATAAGATAAAAAATTAACAAAATATGTATGTGTATACGAGTATAAGAAAGATATAACAAATCAGTGTATGATAAACAAATTTCAAATTTTCATGAGACTTCGATGTATGTCGTACAAACAGCAACAGGGGAACTCCGATTGTATTTGCGAGAGAGAAATAGAGAGGAGAGAGAGAGATATGCAGGGGGGAAGAAAGAGGGAGAGTGGTTCAGCCTAATGTATTTGTTGGGTCGTGATTAAGGGCTTGGGGTGGTTTTGGGCTTAACCGCCTATGGCATGTTTTAGGCGGAGAGATTATATATATGTATATTTTATCCCCAAGTGTAAATGGTTAGAGAGACTATTTTTTGTTATTTCCAACAAAAAATTTATATATATATATATATATATATAGTAATAACAAAACTACTCTTACAAAGTTTTGATAATGACTTTGATGTATGTCAACTCCTCTCTCAAAGATGAAATAAGGGAGGGTATTGTATAAAATAGTTTTTAAAAATTTTGTATTTTTCTCATTACTCAAATTTGAATATGTCTCTTTATTTTGAGAAAGAATAAATGAAGATAAATTTTTGTTATATCCACCCAAAGACCTCCATTGTCCATATTTTTAATGGATGAACTGAAGGCACGATATTCCATGATGAAACCACTCTTGTGGGAAGTTCACATCCTTATGTCCATAATATAATATGATAGTATGGTACTCTCTGTCTAATCAAAATTAATTCTTACACCTTGAGTAACATGTTATCAACTAATCATATTTCCTCGCATAAATAAGAATATAACTATTTTAATAGGACATGAGACTGTGTATGTGTAAATGTTTAATAGCATTTTTTAGATTTTAATAAAAATTATAAGTAATTTTGTAAAAAAAAAAAAAAAAATCAATAAGGGCAGTTACCTTCACTGTGGCCTTAACAAGCCGTCCTTGTCTGGCTAATCCGCACCATTAAAACACTCATTTATGCTCACCTATTTTTTGTTATTTATGTTAAGTGTGCAAATATATATATATATATATATATATATATATTACACATGGTTACTTATTTGCAAATGTTGTTCTTGATAATGTGAGGAAATCATTCCACGTATGTCAAGAATACTGAAATCGGTAACTAAGTGGAGATCCAAGCTACCGTGGGTTTTGCTTTTGAGAAAGAGAAGGTGATTGCTTAGTACCCTAGGTAGCTTGAGTTAAGGAGTTATAGTCTATCTGTCTTTTGGTTGTTGTCTTTAATGATCGATTATTGCATTTATTTATATTATCTCTGGACCTTTGATCGCGAGGGCCAACTCCTCTTTTATCGATGGTCTCATTACCTAACCTCCTGACATATGGGACACCAGCAGGTGGCCCGAGGCAACTGGTGCCTCCAATAGAGATAATGATGATGGTGTGCATGTAATGTAAGTCTTGTCGATGGGCTAGTGCATTTAATGTGTCGCTGATTCTCTTGTCCAAATAACTAAACCATAGGTACTAAACATTTTATCCCTTTCGTGAATGCCTCGCAATGGGTTTACTCTCGACTTGTCATCGAAGGTGACCCTCACCTTTTGATTAAGGTGACTCCTCGAATCTTAGCCACCTGTCCATTGTTCATCAAATTCCCACTATCCAGGATGAAAATGAGGAATCACTTTAGACTTCTTTGGTCACGAGTTTCCACATTTCCTTTATTTATTAAGTTTTTCTACAAGAGGTAGTTCGAGACAAATAGTTACAAATGATCAGGATTTAAGACTTACTGACCTGTATAGATTAGGCTTCCAATCTTTTTTTTTTTTGGCCTGGCAAAAGAAACAACAACAAAACAAACAAAACAAGAGAACCACAACAACCAAAACAAACCAACAACAAAACAGAACTACGAAGAAAGAACCAAGGCATCCAAAGTAGCAGAAGCAGAAATGTGTGGCGGAAGTGGAACCAGCTCATGATCAAAGGGAAAGGAACTCTAGATAGCATAGCAATATCATAAACTACTTGATTACCCGAACGACGAACATGCTCCAAAGAAGCAACAGCAAAAGACTGAAGGTCCAGGCGGATATCAAAGAAAATCGAAACAATTTCAAATGGGCAACTCGAAACATCATGGACAGCGTCAACCACGCCCTTAGCGTCAGACTCAAAACATAAGCGTTGATACCCAAATGAAGAAGCCCAAGAGATAGCACGGTGACAGGCATACGCTTCAACCATCAATGCCGAAGAAGCAAGGAAAAGCCGAAAAACAACAGCATGAAGAATATGCCCCCGACAATCCCGAAATGCTGGATCTTAGAGAGAGTAGCACACCTTCAAACCGCACTCCAATGAAAACCGGCCGATGGATCCCTCCCTGTAGAAGAAAAAGATCGTGCAAGAACATAAGCAGAGCGAACAGAAAAAGACCCATTCCGCTCGGGCGCCCAAATCAAAGTATCCGGCCTAGATTAGGCTTCCAATATAATGTATGGTGAAACCTAACAAAATGAAATAGGTACTTCCGTGATAAATAAATAAAAAAAGCGAAGGGTCACTTATGGATACAATACTCGTGGTTTCAGACCTCGCAGATCGGTACGATATCTAGAGAAATGTCAAATGATCATACCGCGTGGAATTTAACGTGGCACAATCGGTCGTGGTGGTCATATATGCCTTTTAATAATAAATAACGACGGGCGGAGCCTAACATAGTTTGATTATCTATACCTATTAATGATGCAAAGTTCGTCATGAATATATACACGCGGTCTTTCAAAGTCCATTAAATATTGGGTGAAATGCATTTAACCCCTCTTAACGTTCACTGTTTTGTAGTAAATCACCCTTTACAAATTTTTTTGGCCCAAAAACCACTCTCAACTAACTGAGGGGGTTGTTTTTGAAGTTTTGATAAAAATATCCCTACTAAGTCGATGTTTTTTTTTTTGCAAGTTGCTCAATTTAGTGATTTTTTTTTTGGGTTACATGCATCGCTATACTTTTAATTGAAGAAAATTAATGTTTTTAAAAAGTAAAATTTATAATTGTGAGTGCAACTGCATATATGTTTACTCATAATATTATATTATATTTTTTGTTATATATATATATATATATATATATAAGTATAGGGTTGCGAGCGGTTTATTTTTTGTGCGAGCAAGGACCTATTGTCCGGGGAGCAATTAAAAGATTAAAGTATCCTTATGTATTTGGAAAAAAAAAATGAAGGTGAAAGACAAAATAAACATAAAATGACCAAAGTACTATAACGAAAAATAAAATGGTGTGTTTATATGTAAAATGGTATAAGGGCATTCGGAGAGACCAAAATGATAGTTTAGGGAATTTGTTACTTAATATAGACATGTATAACACACATGAATACTTAATGTGATTTTATGACATATTATATGAATTAAGCCCTTATTTGCCTATTTCTTAAAACTTAATCGTCTTATGTACTTAAAATAAAGATTAAGGGTATTATTTACACAAATTTTAAAGCTTAGGAGTGTTTTTCTCATTTTACCCATAAGTCTATGAGATGGATATTTGACTAAATTTTAATTACCAAAACGAATTGAATGCATAAAATAATATACTTTTATCTAATTTTTTAATAGAAAAAAAAGACAAAAAAAAAATTACAAGATTAAACTATGCTAAAGAAAGGGCATGTAGTTGCACTCATAACTTTGAATTTTAATTTTTAAATATATTTTTTTGATATTTTTATTTATTAAAGAAAAATATAAGTTCGAATATTATTCACGAAAGAAAAAAAAAAAAAAAAAAAAAAAACGAAGAAGCTAAATTCACACAACTTTGCAAATTGCATACCCCCTAACTTGGTTGGTGGTGATTTTTTTGGCAAATATTCATAAACAACCCCTTTGGTTGAGGGGATTTTTTTTTTTTTTTTTTTGGGGCAAAAAAAATAAAAATAGTAAAGAAATATTTATTGAAAAATCGGTGCAAGTTAAGAAAGTTAAATGCGTCTAAAATTAAAAGTTTCATTTTGGAAACATTTTAATTAGAGATGGAGGGAGTACATGTTTGCATATTTGTAGAAGTTCTATTTTTAATTAGTAGTTGAAATCAATAAAAGAAATAGAATTGTAGATCATAAGATTTGAAATCCCAAAATATAATGTAATAAAAATTAATTAAATTATATGTTTATAATTTATCTAATTTCCCCTTCCCTCCAATGGGAGATAAAATTGCAATTGTAATTAATAAAAATAAAAATAATAGTAATTAAAAAAAAATACAATTAAACTCAAATAAAACGAATTTCATTTTCAAACCCAATTCAATTTGACGAATTTGATTCCAAATAACACATTAAAATTTAATTTTTGGCCTTAAAAAACTATAAAACACAGCTAAACAGTAAATATAGCCAACTTCAAATGGTTCATTCAAATTCTACAATGGAAAGCCTTTTTGGCTACATCGGTATGCAATTCAATCCCAAAGAAGGAACCAAAACGAGCACGAAGAAACTAGTAATTACAGGAACAAAACAAAAGCCCTAACCCTAACACCGAACCCATATCTTCTTCTTGACAGCAAGACTTTTGAAATCGCGAGCCCTAACCACCGAACCCGTACAGAGTGCGACCCTGCCTCTTCAGTGCATAGACCACGTCCATGGCAGTCACCGTCTTCCGGCGGGCGTGCTCGGTGTAGGTCACGGCGTCTCTGATCACGTTCTCGAGGAAGATCTTGAGCACACCACGAGTCTCTTCGTAGATCAATCCACTGATACGCTTCACGCCGCCTCTTCTCGCCAAACGACGAATGGCTGGCTTCGTGATGCCCTGGATGTTGTCACGAAGCACCTTGCGATGGCGCTTTGCTCCTCCCTTCCCCAATCCCTTGCCTCCTTTTCCACGACCTGACATCTTCGATTAACAGTCTGTTTCACTGTAATTGAGGAACAATGGAGCCGGTTAGGGTTAAAAGACCCAAAAATTGCATTTTTATGACAGAGATAGCTAAATAAAAACCCTAAGCTTTCAATTGAATAACTTTGCTCGAAGATTAGTGTACTAAGAAGCATAAAACCTACACTCAAATTCATGTACTGAATCAACATTTGAGTTCCAAAATAACCAAAATTGAACCCTAGATTTGTACCTCAGAAACCCTAACAAACATATTTTTTTTTAAGTAACAGAAACATTAGGCTCGGAGAAATCGTATATATACATATATACATAATACAAATCTACAAAAATCACAGAGATAGATAGAGGAGAGAATAAGAGAGAGGGACGAACCTGATTTGCTAGCTCTGAGTTGAAGCTTGAACCAGATAAATTAGATTACTACCTCGTGGAAATGAGGATTGTCCCTCTATATATTTATAGTGAAATGACGGAGGAAACCGATCCGTGTCGATGGTGTTGTAGAGCGTTTCCACCGTTGATTGTTTTTTGGAGGGCTACGATTCGCAGTTTTACTCGACCTGGATCGATGACATGTCAAAAGACGATGGCATTCGCAGTTTCTCGCGGTCTTTTTTTAGCAAGTGAAGAAATTGTGCAAGAAATAAACCTTTTTTTTTCACTCTTCAAACCGACCCACAATTATGTATTTTTACAAATCATTTTAATGATTTTTTTTTTATTAAAAAAATAAAGTGGAATAAAAATATAGAAATGCATAGTGCAAATAAATAATGTCACTTTTATATAGTTAGGGTGGAATTAGGATTGCAAAGTGGGGGCTAAAGAAATCATTCCATGAGGCATTGCAGTGTAGCAATTTAATGCATGATTTGTAATTTTGTACTTTATTTATGTGCATGTTCACAACACATTTTCATTTCACATCTACAAAACTCAATCTTCTTGTATTGGGGAAAAATTAACCTGCAAAGATCAAACCTAGAATGTTGCAATTTGTAAAATTGTAGAAATACATTGTTTATCTAAGAAATAATTTCTAAATAATTAAAAAATTATCTAAAATAATTAAGCATCACTAACCCCAATTACCTACAAATAAAATGAAAATCCTATGCATCACTCCTACAATAAGATAAATGAATAAATAACAATTCAAAACTCATGATGTCATACTATATCAAAATTAGTGTAAAAAAATGGATAGTGTCCTTAATTAGAAGAGAGAAGGGTGAATGGGAGAAATTTTACTACGAAACAAGCGTAGTGGCCTTCGCTTTATCAAGGGAAGTTGATGGTGGCGCTCAGTGGCGTAGCCACATAGGGACAAGTGGGGGCAGTTGCCCCCACTGAATTTTTAATTTTTTAATTTTTTTTTTTTATTTTATATAGAAATTTTTTTATATTTCTATAATTGTCCATACTAAAAGTTGAAATTGCACATAATCTTTCAAAAAAAGGAATATAATTTTTCAAAAAAATATGATATTTTTTTTTCACTTTCTTAAAATATTATATTCTTTCACACTTTCTTCAAAATATTCTTTCTAATTTATGACTTTAGCATAAACAAATGCGTTGTTAAATTTTAAAAATTCACAAAATCTAAACAAATACTGCAGTGCGGAGACAGATAATCTGATATATAATTTTTGATCATTTAAATTTACTATTATTATGCCATGAACATTTTTAAAACTCGACTGCGTGCTTTTAGAATATGAAAAATATTCTGAAATATTTAGTATTGTTTAATATTTACATATATTATTTTGGTTCAAATAATATATATATATATATATATTATTGCTGTTAAAAATTGCCCCCACTGAAGAAAATTTCTGGCTACGCCACTGGTGGCACTGCCTCCAATTGAGAGAAAACCCTAACGCCAGCGATAAAGCCTCCTTTAAGTTTTAACATTGGCGGAGATCGCAAAATACGATTTATCACTCAAGTTGTGAGATGTAAACGACGATCTGCAGTCTACATTTACACCCGCATAGTTAGGTCTTCTCCAATCTTCCAGTTTCACAGACTAATTTGTTTGTAGGCTTGTGGCTTGCTAGGCTGGGTCATTTATCATTTATGTTTTATTATGGACTGGGCAGCTTGGGTTGGGCTATGGCTGATAGGAAATAGTAATATTATTTATTTATTTAATTTTGGACTCGTCTATAGCCCAGGTTAGCCTACAGAGAATTTCGTCCCTGTACATAGTCAAACTCTGCTTTAATCTTATATATCAAATAATGTATAAATGATTATATTTTCGCGAGTCTTTCCATGCACAAGGTTTATTTTATTTTCTCAAAAATTTATTTCTCTGCACATTAGTGAACTCTAAGTTGATGATTTTTAAAAAAATAGAAGCCATCAAATTGGCAAATTAATCATATAACCTATTTGTTGAGATTTTATCTCTTATAATACAGCTGTAGAATTGAATTATTATACTCCTTGACTTATGGCTAATTGGTAGGTATTTAGTTACCTATTTTAGCCAAATCATATTCTATAAATTGAATGTAACACCATCAATGAATTATTGAATATGATTTTAATTATCGTATCTTTCTCTGAATTTCAAGATGGTATCAGTGCCATCCTTTGAATCTCTTTCAATCGTATCTTTGAAATCACTGAACCACAGACCATCACATACATTCGTTATACACTGAACCAATCACAGACCCACAGACCATACAGTGAACCAGTCACTGAACCATACCGTCCTTTACCTGCAATCTGCAGATCCGCCAATTACTGTCCATAAATGACAACGACGCTGTCGAACCGCTGCATTGCTACCGGCGATATGCGGAACCAAACCGCTGCTCACCGCTGCATCGTCCATAGCCGTCGCCGGATCTGCAACCCTCAACTGTCGAATTGCTATCCATAGCCATCGCTGCTCCCAAAAAATTAAAAAAAAAAGGGTCGAATACAACAACCAAAATCCCAAACCAGTCGCCGATCTGCGGACGACCTGCCATCGCCGCACCATCACCGGTCGCCTTCCTCGACCGAAGCTCATGGCCGAGCTCTACCGCCGGTTCGTCTTCTCCTTACCGAGTCCTGCTATCCACAAATCCTTCTGATTTGTTCTTTTAATATATAAAACATATATTTGTTCTTCTAATATATATATATTATCAAAACCCTCTGTTTGGCCACAAATGTAATACTATTCCAGTTCTGGATTAGTTCAAAACTAAACCAGTTTTGTAACCTCATTTGAAAACTGGTTCTGTGATAAACCAGTTCCAAAAAAAAGTGAAAAAATTATTGAATCACCTGGAGCAGACAAGTCTACCTACAAATGCACTCATTGCAACCAGACTGGTCATACCAAAAGTCGCTGTTTCAAACTTTTGGGATATCCGGAATGGTGGGATCATCGCCGTTGGAAAAATAATTCAACAAAGACCTCAACTGCAGCAATTGTTAAGACAATAGATAATGGTGGTAAGGTTTTCGATATTTCTACACATGTTGCTAATAGTGCATGGATAAATGATTATGATGCCATGGATTATATGACATTTGATTCTAGACAGGTCTCACCTCTTAATTCATCCTCACACAAATTTATTTCTACTCCCAATGGGACTTCGACTCCAGTTATTGGAGAAGGATCTTTGACACTCACCGATAATCTGCAATTAGATTATGTTGTAGTTGTTCTATCTTTAGATTATAATCTTTTGTCAGTTTCCCAAATGACCACAACTTTATCTTACATTGTCATTTTTTGGCCCGATTTTTGTGTGTTTAAGGACATCTAAACAAAGCAGACGATTGGTTGTGGTATTAGGCGAGACAAACTATATTACTTGGACTCGATGTCCAAAAGTTTTGACAAGCTACGACAAACATTGACAGTGGATGGTTCTAAGGGGGAGAAAAATAAATTTGAAATTTGGCTGTGGCATCGACGTCTGTGGCATGCTTCTTTTGGTTATCTGAAAAAATTATTTCCCAGATTGTTTACAAAATTTGATGTTTCTAGTTTTCGCTGTGATGTTTATGAACTAACAAAGAGCCATCGTGTTTCATATCCATTATGTTTGTATAAAAGTCCACTTCCTTTTATGATTATACATTATGATGTTTGGGGTCCGTCCAAAGTTACTACTTTAGGTGGATCCTGTTGGTTTGTTACTTTTATTGATGACTGTACCAATATGACCTGGTTGTGCTTGATGAAGTCCAAAGGTGAAGTGAACTTATTGTTTCAAAAGTTTCATAAAATGGTTGAAACTCAATACAATGCACATGTTCAGGTTCTCTGTAGTGACAATAGTGGAAAATATCAGAGTTTTAACCTTTATCAGTATTTGGAAGCACGTGAAACCATTCATCAAATCACTTGTTCCAATACACCCCATAACGGGGTTGCAGAGCCAAAAAATCGACACTTATTAGAGGTTTTTCGTGCTTCATTGATAGAAGCGCATATGTCATTATCGTATTGGGGAGCAGCACTTACCTCTGCAACATATCTAATCAATCAAGTACCTTCCAGCTCTGTTGCCTTCCGGACATCATTGTAGGTTCTCACTGACACAGTTGTTGGCCCAACTGTCCCAAATCTACCTTCTCATGTCTTTGGTTATGTAACATTTGTACACCTCCATAAGCATCGACGCAACAAGCTAACTCCTAGAGCATTGCGATGTGTTTTTCTTAGATATGTGCTACTCATCAAAAGGGGTATCGTTGTTATCACCCTTTAATTCGACGAATGTTTATCATAATGAATGTTGTCTTCCATGAAGACTCAATATATTTTTCCTTTGCGTCTGAACTTCAGGGGGAGTACCAGAACGAAATTCAGACTCTATATAATAATTATCACACTTTTGAGGATGGCGATTCTAGTGTTGATGACTCACAAGTTGGACCAACTAATCAGGAATCTGGCGAATTGGATTAGAGTGGTATAAGTTTGGATTAAAGTGGTGATGAACCCCCATAAATGGAAAGTATGGCGCCAACCCCATCGTCGTCCGAGTTCGAGTCCCTCACAACTGATATATTAAACCAATCGCCTATTGAGGATGTTCATGATTTAGTGCCTGAGCCACTCAGAAAACAATTATTACCGCGTCACACTAGAGGTATTCCTAAACCCACATATGAACCTGAACTTTCTAGTAAAGTTAAGTATCCCACGAGCAATTATGTGTCGAACCATCGTTTATCACAATCAAATTTGTCATTTGTAAATCAATTATCTATTATATCTATTCCTAACAGTGTGCAGGAAGCCTTAGTTGACCCTAGATAGAAAGTAGCTATGAACGAGGAGATGAAATCTTTGCAGAAAAATGAAACTTGGGAACTTATTGATTCTCTACCAGGGAAGAAACTAGTTAGATGTCAATGAATTTACACTATGAAGTATAAAGCCGATGACATAGTTAAATGTGATACCCCCAACATTTCCACGTGTAGGTTGG